AAGGACAAAGTAAGATAATCAAATGTGGAGATACACTACTATAGCATAAATCAGTTAAAGGTGTATGACAGGTACAACAATATCCAACAACAAATGCAAGCTACATAGTGCATTGGTTAGGAAAAGTATATACATTTTATGCGATGTTATCTGGTCAGCATCATTAGCCCTTAAAAGCAATGGAATAAAATGTCCTACACTTGACATGTCTCATATTGATGTGTAGTGGTTCACTATTTGCTTACTCCCATAAGGAGGAAAGCCCTTGAACAGATCTAAAATGGTAAAATGGACACCAAGGTGTTAACTGTACTTGTACTTAAATCTAGAATAATTGGAAATGAGGTAAACTATTAATTCAACCTATAAAATAAAAAGTTAGGATACGAGGGATAAGGGATGATACTCAATTCCAAGATAGCTTTTAAAATGGTGTTGTCCTTTTAAGGTAATTGCTCAGATGATATACTGTTTCATGCTGGGAAAGGACCATGTCCTCAATAATTAGTGCTCTTTTCACCAAACCCCTTCCTCCCCTTTCCCTGACCCCACAGGGTCAACTGTGGCCAAGGGCCATGCAATTATGAGGGCCAGCCAGAATACATCATTGCAGATTTAAGTCAATGGGATAGGAATGTGACACCGTTGACCACCAAGTACAAAGCTGATGTATTTCAATTTTTCTGCAGTTTCAATACATTGGCTCAAGTCTTACTTATCGAACAGAAAACAGTGTGTTTTGGTCAACGGTGCCGAATCGCCCTACCTTGTCAACCCTGTTGGGGTTCCACAAGGTTCCATTCTTGGACCGTTACTTTTTTCACTGTACATTAATTACTTGCCTAATGTATGTCCTGAGTTGAATGTGCAAATGTATGCTGATGCGGTCATCTTTATACACGGGAAAAAGACTGAAATAATCTCATCTTGTCTCTCAAATGCGTTGGACAAGGTTCAACACTGGCTGAACAACATTTGCTTACAGTTAAACGTAAAAAAAAACAGTATGCATGATGTTCAGTAAACGACCAGTCAAAATCGAAGGATCCAAAGTATTTTTAAACGGAGCAGAAATAGAACTAGTCTCCCACTTCAAGTATCTTGGAGTCATACTTGACTCGAACTTGACTTTTAAGAAACATATCAAGAAAGTATCCAATAGTATTAAATTCAACTTGCAAAATGTTAAACAAATCAGACCCTTCTTAACTGTCAATGCTGCAAAGTCATACCTCCACTGTATGATTATAGACCCATATTGAATACTGTTTGACAAACTGGTCGTTTGCTTGTGCCACAAACCTGAAACCAATAGAACAGCTGTACAAGAGAGCTATCAAGGTGTTTGACAGAAAGCCAAATCCATACCACCACTGTACCATCCTTGAAAAACACAATTTATTGAGTTTTGACAATTTTAAGTCTTTTAAAAGTGCTTTTTTTAATAAATGTTTACATGGACTGCCCCCCCCCCCCCTCCCTTAGGAGAATTCATCCACAAAAAACACACTGGATGCTGCACTAGGACAGAAACCAGAGGAGACTGTGAAGTCCACCATAGAAGGACCACTTTTGGACAAAATGTCCTTGCTATCTCCTCTTGCACTTTATGTATCTCTTTTATCTTCTCTTGCACTTTATATGTCGTTGCTGCTATATTGTACTGCCATGTCATAAATACTTGTGTATGCTGCTCTTGCCCTTTTTGCATATCATGTATTTATTTGTTGCTATCTTTATAAATGTCATGTTCTTATATGTTGTATGTGAGGGACTGAGGATTGAAATTAGCTCAAAGCTAAAAATCCGGCATATTTACACTTGAAGCATTATTTGTCTTAAGTGTTCATTAATGTGTATTATCCCTGTTCAAATAAACGATTAGATTAAATGAAACATGAACGTGTAAAAAACAACCAGCTCTGATCAGCACTTTGTTATTAAGACATTGTAATTTGATCTGTGAAGCAATAGCCTCAATATGTGCACAATTATGGGCTACTGAGGGCATAACCGCCTGCTGGATTTTGTTAGAAACAAAAACAGTGGAAGTGGCACTGACCTAAAGTGACTGATAAATAGTGATCTTCACTATCATTAATCCACTAGACACACTTCACATTTAAGGATTCCACAATATATAAAAGCCTAGAGCAGAAACTGACTCATGCTGGAGACCTGACTGAGTACATCTGGTAGAAATTGGGGATGTTTCATCCATTAACTTTGGCATCTGTGGAGAATTAATGAGTATGCGAGTAGCTGCAGTAACCCTAAATAAGCTCAGTGCAGTCATATGGCTAACTTTATAATGTGCCGTAGGGGATTAAACCTAGTTAGTGGATGGCTGAGTGAAATTAAGTTAAAGTGATAGCTAGAGGCCTTCGCACTTGTGTGCCATGCCATGCCATGCAGTGCTGGATCCAATAGGTGACCTCCTGCAGTGGTTCTTACAGTCTGAGAAAGCTTCACATCTGGGGCTCATCATTAGTTATAACCAACAAAGTTTACTTTAAGCTTTTCAGAGTCCTTTTGCCTTTACAGCATTTTTCTCAAAAATGACATTTATGTGTATTTTATATATTATTACTGTTGTTGTACTAGAAAGATGTTTAGGATATGTATTTGTTTCCTTTTTTACACAACATTATCACTTCTTAGTTTCTCATAAGCTAAGCATGACATTTTGTCACAACCTATTATGACTGTATGTGTGTTAACATTTCTTTTGCACACTCACTTTGCTTTTGATGATGAAAAAACAGTGACAATGGCTTTCCGAAATGAAAAGCCTCACAGGAGGCTCCGAGACTGAATGAATAACACATCAGGGAGGCATCAGAGGAGTTACAGTGGAGAGATTTTGTTTAAAATCAAAATCATTTCATCTTAGAAGCCTTGAAATCAAGATGCAGCTTTAAAACTGAGCTATAGGAAAATGGAATGTGCAAATCTTGTTGTTTTATTAGCCAGTTTAAGTTGTTTCCAGATGTCTTTCAGTGTGAGTGCACTTAATAAGGTTAGGTTTATAAAAGGAAATGTTTACACATTGTGTGAGAAAAAGAGAGATGGGTGGATTGTGATTTGATCTGATGTGGTGATTGTGTGATAAGGAACTGCCGAGCTGTATTGACATCTCTAATTCTAATCAACCCATGTGATTAAATTCACAACATATTCAAACAAATAAAACTTAAATCGGTTTTAGTGTTTGTCTCATATGGTACTAGTGAACTCCAGCATATTTGCAATAATACCAGGACCATAGCTGATATTCAGCAAATAGGCAATAAAATGGTTGTGGCAAATCACTGCTTGGTCTATCACTGACCACACTGTGATTTTAAAGAGACGGAGAGGGAGAGAGGCTGAGGGGGAGAGATAGAGAGACTTTTAAAAAGTAATAGCCATGACTTGGAGACTAGATGTTTTGTGTCAAAGAAAGAGCCTACAGGATTCAAAAGTGTTTCCGGTGAGACCACCGCGTCTAATTACTCACAATGCTGTGACATCAGTCTTCAAAGGACATGAAAAACAAGACTCCTTTCACACGTCCATCAACTTTGTATAAGAATTTACGTGCCTAAATGATTAACGAGAAGCTGACCACATCATGGCCAAGGAAGCCCGACTTCCTCCAATAGATGACAGTGAAGAATGGCTCATAATGTCCTATGTGCTAATTATTTTGTGCTTTGATTCCTAATATTTTCCCTCAAGTTTTAACAACATACTATTGTGGATACATCCACATTAGACATACAATATATTAAATGTACAACACAGTCAAAATGGGCCTAAAGATTAGGATGGATTTACTCATAGAGTTAAATAGACTCTGACCAATGTGCATTATATAAACACTATCACCATCTCAAACTTGCACTGTTGATATTGCTATACCAAATTGTGCATTGATACATTTACTCTTGTCGTATAAATATTGGTGTAACCCCTGACGATGAAGTTGTAAGAGGCTGCTACACACTGAGTTCCCAGTTTATTGGGTTTGTTTGCCGCATGCAGACACTAACCATCAAGTAGATCCTTCCTTTATTAACTTTATTTGCATTAAGTGTTGATTACACTGCTCTTAATTCATTTTACTACATATATAAACGTAACCAACAATAACACAGGGACTCAACCCATACTCTCAACTGAAAGGTGTTTTGTGTATTGATACTGTATATTTGCCACCAATAGATTGACACAGTTTGTTTCTAATGTTTTTGTACTGCAAAATGATCATCCCCTTGAATCAATACTTCACTGGCAGTATGTAGATAATAAGGGCTTATACTAAGATAACAAAACACAACAGCTCTCTTAGTTTCAGGTACTTATACACTAATGACAAAAAAGTTACAAACATTATATTCCAATTCAGCCCATAAATCCCCCTAAATCCTACACTTTGGATTCATTACATAAACAAACACTTCTAATAAGGAATTCTTAAATGTGTTTTTAAACACCAAGCATAAAAGAAGTACAAAATAAAATCAGAAGTGAATTATATTATTATATTTTATATTAATGTGCTACTTCTACTCCAGCCCAAACTGATATTGAGAAGTGGCAAACACATTGGTTGAGTGATAACATGTATTATGTATAACAAATAAGCTCAATATGTACTGCCAACAGACACATATCATAAGCCTTATAAATATTATTCATTATTATCACACGAGATTTTGAAATTAAATATGTTATTGCAAATCTACAAGTGTCGTTGTACTGCCATTCACATTTTGTATCAGCAATAATAGATATTGCGGACAGACCCAAAAACCCAGAATTCGGGATGGTTGTGTTGTGGGTTATTTTCTTCATTGTGGTATATTTTATTTACACTTTTTTTTTGTAACACTGCAGCCCTGAAGCCTGCCCCATGTGTTGGTGTCCGAGGCGCGCTCCCCATTGGCTCCTTAGCAAAGGGGGCGTCGCTTCGCTGCTGGTGAGTGCTTAGGGTGCACGGGGTGTTCTAGGGATGGCTAAGGGAAAGCGTACTTGGCACTGATCCCTCCTTTCAGTAAAGACTGCAGTTTACATTAGGCAGCAATTTTTGTTTTAATCAGGGGGATGAATGTGTCATAAATAGTTCGCTTTTATAGAGGGTAGTGGATGCATGTTTAGCAATGCGATGAGGCCAGTGCACTTTGCAAGACTTGCGCTGCAGAGAGCCTCCGCGGATCCCACGACCTGTTGCTGACAAGCCGGGGGAAAGGAGAGGGGGAGCCGCTCGGGAGAGACAGAGGTTACTGCCTTGGAGACGACAGCCTGGGTTTCTTCGCGGAGGAAATCATGCAGTTTGCTATCTGGCTGGTTGGACTTATGTGTCATCTGTCAGCGCTTGTCCGAGAAACTTTGCAACACCGCTTGCACCCGAAACAAGGTAGTGTTTTGATTTGATTTAGGAGTACCGTGAAGTTAAAGGTGTTCAAAGCAGTGGGAATGATGCCTTGTGAAATGTACAGTTGTCAAGCTGCAGCTGCATGATTTACTCTGATACACACTGCTATTAATCCCATTATTTTCTCTCTTTACATTTTGCAGAAAGCTTCATCAAACAGCTGTCATCGTATGAAATCATCACTCCGCTCCGCGTCAATGACTTTGGAGAATCATTCCCTCACAAATTGCACTACAGAAGGAGACGGAGAAGTTTAAATGATGACCTGTCGGGTTTACGGGTTCACTACAGGATTGATGCATTTGGGGAACGCTTTCATCTCAATCTGACCGCCGACTCCGGCTTCATTGCCCCCTCGTACACAGTGACACACTTGGGAGTGGAACAGAGCAACGGCACGGACATCCCCTTCAATGACCCGAGCGAAATGCGCCACTGCTTTTTCCGCGGACATGTCAACGCCAAGAGCGAGTTCCCTGCAGTCTTCAGCATGTGCACTGGCCTTGTGAGTGTTCACTTTAAAGTACCTTTTTTTGAGACGCTTTAATCAAGCGATGCTGACAGGGCCTTCACCCATGCATATCCCCCATAACCCGCAGTTAAGTGAAGTGTGTAGGAGTGTAACAAGAGCAAGTGTTACTGGACTTATGTCATTGAGGAGGAGGAGGAGGAGGAGGAGGAGGAGGAGGAGGAGGAGGAGGAGGAGGAGGAGGAGGAGGAGGAGGAGGAGGAGGAGGAGGAGGAGGAGGAGGAGGAGGAGGAGGAGGAGGAGGAGGAGGAGGAGGAGGAGGAGGAGGAGGAGGAGGAGGAGGAGGAGGAGAGCAATCTGCATCTCGGTGCCTGTGAGGAGATGCTCCCATAGTTCACAGTGCATGCTGGGCATCAGGGTGGTGTTGTGGTTAGAGAATGAAGTTGATGTGACAACAAGACTTCACCCTGCTGAAGTGCTCTTGAGCATAACACACTAAGAATCCCTGATGAGCTCATGCTGAGATTGCTGCACTTTGGCTGACCCTACTAAAAAAGTAAAAAAGGTTAATTTCACTTTACAAAGATCAAAAAAGTATCAGTAGATTTTTATACAGGGATGAAATGGAACCAAACATGCAGCTGTTTTGGTTCCATTTCAAACTGCTTGAAGCTGCTTGAAGTTTTAACAAAAATAATAGCAAACGCAGCAGATATGGCCAAACCAGTGGTCAATTAGTCGATTATCAGTTGATTGATCATGTGATAAAGTAAACATGTTATTGCTAATTTATCAATCTCAAATGCCAAACATTGGTTTCTTTCTAGATTCTTAAATGTGACAACTTTTTTCCTTTTGTGTTTTCAATAGTTGTACGTTTTTACACAGTTTCTTTCTTTATTTTACATATCGTTTTTTTTTTTAAAGAAAATCAGGTCAGAGCTAATGAAAGTAGCAATCAGTGACAGCCCCAAACCACACTTCCAGTCTAAAACAGCTGTTTGCTTGTGAATTGCCCTTTATCATCTTTTAGATCTTACGGGGCTGTAATAGAGTTATTGGGTAATAATGAGTTGAGTTTACTGCCCCATTTGAGGATCCTGTTACCCAAGTCATTTAGTTTGCTGACTCCTGTGTGAGAGCACAAGTGATGAAGTGGATGACTTAATGGGTCACATAAGGTTACTGGTCCAGGGGCAGGGGGTTGACCTCATTCGGGCCAGCCGGATTCTGGCTTGGACTCTGCGAGGTGGGGGGGTTTGGCTGGCCGCAGAAACACAGACGGCAGGAACATAACCTTGGAGTCTCCCTCCCCGTCACACCCCCTATCAATGACATAATCCTTATTTTAGATAGGTTAACTTTGTACAGTACCAGGATAGCATGTTGATCTAGTACATTCACAATGCATTCAGCAATTGTACTGTATAGTTGGAACCTGGCATGATAAAACAAATGTCACGCATTAAGTCTTAGTGGGGGGGTATTTCCTATTCAGTGTGACTCTGGAGAAGAGATACCACCACATCTTTCAGTTTGTATAGCCATTTAAGACAAGAGGTATGCTGGGATTATCAGGGTAATAAGCCTTTAATTGCCCCTCTGCCCAACTTTGATGTATGACTCGCTTATCCAAACATGTTTGCATCCTTTTTCAAGCAATCTTTGTTGCTTATCCGCATCATCACTCATTGAGAATGACAGGACAATGGAGACAGCAGAGGCTATTGGGTCATAAATGTGTCCGTATCTGATCACTGGGGCTTAATGGCCAGGCACATTTAGTTGGGATGATGTCATTAAGGAATAATTAAGCCCTAAAACAAAGGGGTCATTCTAGAAAAAGCAGGTTCCCCTTTCGTCCAGAGTTGCTCAAAGCCATCCCCAGGGGGGAATCGAGGGGGTGGGGTTGAGGAGCTTTTTTGCCTTTTCAAAGTGAGCTGTGACGGGCAGAAAAGGGGAGAAATGCTGTGAAGAGTAGACAACTGCCAATGAAGGTTGTAAGGAACTTAAGGGTTGCTCACACCGTGGGAAATCTCCCTGAAGGAGCTCGCTCTCCCAGTCCACTCACATAATAGAAGTGTGTGTTGAGTCAGACTGTCCTGAGAAATGAGGCTCTTCATTTTCAATCGGGCACCAAGCGTTGCACCTCTGTGTAAAGATCAGGCTCATGACACCTTTATGTCCGCTTTTAGGTTAGAGATTGACTGCAACTGTACGTCACTTTGCGATGACTCGGCACCAACATTTTTTTAAGTGCCTTTGTGGGGTCTGTTTAAACAGATGTGTGCCAACAGTCATTCCATCCATGTCATGATGGTGACCTCGCTTCAAACAGGAGTCCCTCAGTTGTAAGGTCCAGTTCAGCACCCGCTACTGAACAGCAACCATTGTGTCTGTCCAAAGTTTTGCCAGATTTGCTGCTGAGCTAATGCTGGGAAACCCTGAAACTCTGCCCCCTTCATTGACTAAACAGAGCATTTGTCTGTTCAGCCTTCTGTTAACACCACATGAGAACTTTAGAAAGGCTTAACCGTAACCATCTAATTAAAGTTAACTCGCCGTGGATAGTGATTTACAAGATACAGGTAAACATCTACCAGTTGTTACACTGTATAAATCATTAATTATATTTAGATCATTATAACTGGGAGTTGGAGTAAGGTTGTAACATTCTCATATTGAAGTATTCCAGAAACTTTGTGCAAAGGTAAATCAGTACATATAGCTTTTCACATTTGAAAAGTGTAACTTCATTGTGAAAATACTTTGAGTAATTCCCTGAGTTGTATACACTTATACTGGCTTGTCAAGAAATGCTAATATTGTCGCAAAGCCTTCAAGGTGGAGTACAATGAGGGAAAAATGAGTTTCTGAGGGCTTTCTTCCAGTGGTTGCTTATATCCTGTGACCTGTTTCTACAAGTTCGTTACCCTGCACTGTACACATGGGCACTATAGACCTATAGCACTCTCGAGGAACTATGTTTCATATGTGCAAGCCAAGTAATCCGTCACTCCTTGAAAGGCGGAGAGGAAAAGTACACATACAGTTTGTACTCGTTTCCATATCCGATTTGTATGTTTTCCATTGTCAAGCGTCCATCACGCGTGGGGATGGTTATGGAAAAACAACAATAAAGATAACATTCCAGTGTCCTATATCCTGTTTAAGTGTGCGCATGAAATTACCATACAAACACCATTGTGCCTCATGGTCGAGTGAGCTAAGAAGCTTTGTGAGGGACTGAGCTGCCAAATCAATATTAGCATTCCTCTGTCAGCAGCTCTGTCCATGTACTGTATGATGATGTCACTGGTCCCAGTGTCAGGTTGTGAAGGGAAATGCATTTTCATAGTCAGAACAAGCACTCTTAAAAGCCTTTGCAATTTTTGTTTTTTAAATGGTTCACTGTTGCATGATGATTTATGACTTTATTAATGTATAAAGGGCTTAAAATGTCTTACAATTGCTTTTTATAGTCATGGTTACAACTTCAACAATGACTAATAGCGAGATGTTGTAGATAATCCCTGACCTTTTGTGAGTCAGCATGTTCTTTCCATATGCACCTGTCAAAAAAACTGAGCTTGCTCAAAAGCATGGAAATAATGTGCACAGTGGTGCCCAAGGGCAGCACAGGATTACTGCAATTAAACCGCAGCCTCTTTGAATGCAACTCTGCCTTAATCTGTATATCCTTCCCACATATGTATGCAAACATTCAGCTCATTTCTGATACCAAATACATCAATAACATCTCTTTTTTCTGCTCTAGGTTGGAACATTTACGACACAATATGGTGAATACTTCATGGAACCTCTTTTAAACGCTGAGGGGGAGGAATATGACGAAGAGCACAACAAACCTCATCTTGTTTATCGACAGGAGAGGAAGAACATCTCGCATACGCACAACAACACAGAGCCCTGTGCTGCCTCAGGTAATAGACTACAGACTGCCTAAACACACTGCCTGTAACCACTGTCTGTCTGACTTTAACCCACTAACACGTACTTTCTGATGACCTTTTTAAACCATAGCAATAAACACTATCCCAGAAGGGAAATTATACGCAGTCACGATCTTTGGCTTGCAAGATACCCAAAAGATTTCAGCCATGATTAAGGAGGTGTTGCTGAAAGCTCCTCAACTTAATTAAGCAAATACCCGCCCTAACACTGCCTGGTGTTTTCACTCATGTTGTGCAGGAGAATTCAATCCAAGTTCTGTGGCAAGAGCTCAGAGGGAAGGAATAATTACTTTTCAGGTTAGCAGTGGTGATGAAAAGAACTGGAGAGGTTTTCCGCATGGGAGGCTGCTTCAAAGTTCTCCCAATTTCATTTGAATTTTTATGGTAGAGGCCTTTGGATGGTGGAGAGGCCCTCGAGAGAAAGCGGGGTGACCGAGTGGAGTTTACCACGATGGAGGGCCTTAGATTCGTTCTCAGGGAGCTCCGTGGGCGGCCTTTGTTGTGAGATGCAATAAATCTTTTTATGTGCAGACCGCTTGATATGCTTGTTGTCTAAACCCAGCAATTGTCGCCTGGTGGTGGCCTTTGTGTGGCGGCGCTTTAAAGAACTTGGACTGACCTGATGGGCCAGGTCAATACCTCCTTAATATGCTTTGCCCTTTGACTCTCTCAGTCTGTGTGTGGTAAACAGAGACTAAGAAATCTCGAGGGTCTCTCAGCCCCCACTCTGAGGCACTTTTAAATATACTCTCCCTCAAGAACTGTGAGTGGAGGCTCAGTGAATGAACCTGACTTTTGGTTGAATTCTTAGCAAGTTTTCATTTTATATCTACTTAGTCCCAAATTTAGAAAAATCCTGAATTGTTAAAGCATTACCTCAACTATTAACAGAATAACCTATAAAACAAATATAATTCAGTGTACAGCAGGAAATAGTAGAGAGAAAGGTGCCTAAATGGAGGAGACACATGTAGGTCTTCATCAAAGGGCTGCAGGTAAACAGCAGGATTAAAAGAACCAGAGGGCCAGAGATAGTACTGTGAGGTGTCCCAGGCAGCGGCTCCACAGCTTTATCTGATAGGCCCCTCTCCAGATGCTGTGATAAATGTGCTCTTTGAAGGCCATACCAAGCCAAGACTAACAGGCCTGTCCTGTCTTTTTATGGGAAGGAGTGCAGCCCAAGCTGCTACTAGCTGGTTAGATATAAACACTGGCTTGGCACGTGTTCTTCTGCTTGCAAAACACTCATAGTGGCTCCTCCTGTTTTTGGATTTGGACATTTGCCTCTTGGCTTTGGATAACAATGTGACAAAATCTCCATGTATCACACATAAAGCTCTGTGTACTATGTGTCTCTCTGAAGCTCTTCATTTTCCTTGCCTCCACTCTACACCATGTCTGTACACTTTGTCTGTGTTTCTTTGCCTTACGTTCCTCATCAGACTAAATCAGTCTCTAAGTATTGGGTGCCTAACCACAGTCTAATTGTTGATAGAGAAAAAAGTGTTTAGAAAACCAGAAGCGGCAAGGGAAAGCATCCTTAAGCAGCCGCATTTTTTGAATGTACCTTTCTGTATGTTACAGCAAGTCATTTTGTATTATTATTGGATGGCAGCGAAAAACTAAAAGCTGATGTAGGTATATAGTAGATTACGGAGTGTACAACAAAGCCAATGCTCTGTTTATATATTCATACAATATTGCCAAGCATCAATGTAGCTACACTGAGGTGTTTCTTAGGTACAACTCCTATAAGTTACAAATACCTCATGATGCACTACACACAGAACATTATATAGTCTTCCTAAAGGTATGATTCATTGCGGGGCTGTTGTATTGGACTGCATTGAACTGGTAGCTCAGGGGTTAACAGAAAGGGTGCTTTTTGTCTACAACAGGTTTAGTGCATTTCTGTCTTCAGTATAACCCTCCAACGCAACTGATATATAGCAAGTTCAGAAGCAAATGTTTCTGATTTATCTAATCGCATAGATGATCGACTGGAGAACCTGTGGTGTTGGTGGGGTGCAGATTCCTTTCCTAGTATCTCTTCTTTTTTGACGAGCTATAAAAGCAGTCTCTGTCTTTTCTCCTTGTTTCCCTCCACTTTATGTTCGTGTGAGAAGAACGCTTGGCTTAAATCAAAATTGGAGGCTGGAGTTTGAACGCTGAGGAGTTTGGTTAGTTTTTGACTATCAAGGGGTTTGAAGCTGTATTGTCCTTTGGTTTTGGAACAGGCCAACTATCACAGTTGGTCCAAACATGTTTATGTAAAATTGCCAGAATTTTAGAAAATAGGTTGTTTTGCAAGACTTACTCTATGGGGATTATTATTCCGTATCTGCCTTTCTCTTTGCAAAAGAAAACATCTCTTTGAACACAACAAAGATGAAACGGGCTGTGTTTTATCAAGCAGAACGCCAGGAAACAAAATGTGTATCAGCAGATACCTCTGGTGAGATAAGCTTTGGCATGTCATAGTTCTGCCTTAGAGCACTACAGACTGACTTCTGTTTCTGACACAGTAAGAGTTTCCAGTGTGTACAGTCCCTGCACACCCTGCAAAAACGTGTTGAAAGGAGCGGAAGGCTGTTTCCACATGAATTAAACAAACAAAGATGAACTTTTGTTTTTAACTTAACACTTGTCATCTGTGACATGTACAAATACTTGACTTTTTTTGTACATGTGCCATCTCAACCTGTGAACTAGAAGTGTAATGATGAGAGCTTTTGAGTGTTAGCTTGATGGAAAAGGAAGTTTTGTTACTTTAGCAGTCATGACTGGACTATATATCTGTCTTCAGCTGCTCCTTTCCACTGTGCGGATGTGAGGCTTAAATATATTTTAAATGCAAAAGTAGAACATTTAGTGAATGCATTAGAAACCATAACACTGCAGTTCAGAAATGTAAGAGTAAATCAAAGAACCTGAACAACATGACCATGAAATGTGGTCTCAGTGACTGACGTTTCTAGGAACTGCATCAGTCGTCTGTCTTTGTCAGCCAACCTGGGTGGCTTCTCTGCTGTTTATAATACCTCTAGTGTAGATAGCTCTTGAGTGGGTGATTAATCTTTGAAAGTCGCAGAGTGCCTTGTTGTGCCTTGTTCTGGTTTTAAAAGCCTCCAGGGAAGAAGCTTACTGGGCTAAAAATCACAACACAGCTCCGACTTTTAATGACACATTCTACGGGGTATCTGTCTCCGAGCTTGCATGTGAATCCCTGTGTCCTCCTTCAATAGAGATAGCCACAGAGATGAGGGTGGCTGCAGATAGGGGCAGATTCTTCTCTCGCCAACTCTCCCCCTTGTTCTCCGAAATGTGGAGACAAGCAAGAGATGGAGGGAAGGGAAGCTGTACAGTATATCTTTCTCACAGTTGTTGGCTGCGTGTCTAAAGCTGTGGGGTGTTTGTCTGAATTAGAAACAGTCAATTGAATGCAGACAGCTTGACAGCAAACATTACCATCAGTAAACCCCAACACCAACGTTTCATCGGCTCTTGGCTCTTCCCCCCATTTCTTGATGGCTAACTGAGGGCAGCTGGGACAGTGAAGTGACTGGCTTTGATGCGGCAATACTTGGCACACATGTCATCTGTGCCCCCTGACCCTCAACACAATCATTGTGTAGGATTCCCCCCTTGGTGCCCACTGTGTATACATGGTAGTTCAGTGCTAGCATCAGGTTTTCGGTCAATGGGTTCATTTACATGGAAAAAATGCCCTCCCCCGCCTGGGGTTTGAACTAGCCGACTTGAATCGCTGCCCGCTCTCCCTTTGCGCTTTCATGTATGTGAATGGGAGCACTTGTTGATTGTGACCTCACTTCCCTCTTTGTTTGGAGTCACTCAGTGGACGGTTGGATGTGACCTTGAGTCTTTCCCCTTCTAGAGGTGCGTGGTTACTGGCGTTGCTGGCTTGTTTGCTAAGCCTCAGTTAGAACTATATATGCATAAAGCTCTTTGTTTTCCTCTTAACTCTAGCTCTTGACAGGGGTCAGGAAAGGTGGCATGCCAGGGTGTGATGGACGGGCGCTGAACACTCTGACACCCTCTCTCACCTTTAGGGTCTGGCTTTAGATGGTGTGGAGCTCCTGAATGTCAGATTGCTCCAAAAGGCTTAGGCTTGCTCTATGCCCCCGTGCCCCCTGGACAGACTGAGCCTCCCCCGTTCCAGGAAGTACCTATTGTTACTCGGAAAAACTGTTTGTTTTTGGCCTTTTGTGGGTGTGCATAGATGTGGTTTCTTATGTGTGCGTGTCAAGAGTGCATCTCAGCGCCCTGGCCTGTCAATGGACGAAGAATCCCGCTGAGTACTGGGAATTGTTGAGCAAAGCAGTGCATAGCAATGGCGAAAGGAGACTCTTTCTTCATGTGTTTGAGCAGTCCTGGCCTACGCTGCATGTGCCTGTCAGTTTCCCTTCAGACCTTGGCAGAGGCCCCAGCTTTTTCGCACTGCCCACTTTCTTTTCTTCTACACCTGCTTCTCACTGCTTTGCTGTTTGCCTACCTAGAACCTTAATCAAAATGTATTTTGTCCTTTAGAATCCACATGGCGTTAATTTGGAACGCTGATAATGTTAGTCCTATTATTATTCATTAACTGCGGGTCTTGAGCAAATATATGTGTACGTTTTTGTGTAATGGGGATTTTTTCATTTAAGGTAAGGTACGTTTATTTATATAGCACATTTCCAGACATAGGCAGACACAGGCAATTCAAAGTGCTTTACATCATCATTAACACTTAATAAGAAGACTAAAGAAAGGAACACAATAAATAAACATAATGGAATAACAGATTAAGGCATGATGCTTTGTCACATCATTGCCTTAAATTGTAGCTTCAACAAAGATGGTGCAAGCAGCTAATAACATGGCCCATTACACTCATTGGCATCTGATTAAAAGATAACTGATTCTCTGGACAGGGTAGAACAGGGCTGGGCAACCACAGACAGTCTATAACTTTAATAGCTGCCATGTGTCTGCCTGAGGCCTCAGCCCTATTGAACCCAATGTGTTGTTTTGTCTCGGGAGTTCCCGTGACAGATTCCAGCTGGGGCTATTTTCTGCCACTGTCTACTGTCTGGGCATTCTTAGCAAATGGGGGCTGATTGGAAGGGTTAAAGCAATTTGAGTGACAGTGACTTACTGCCTGGTGTCTTGGGTAACAGTCAGAGGTGAGAGGGGGTGACAGGTGAGCGACAGTTTTCCCACTGAGGTGGACTGGGGAGAGGTGATGCTGAGAGCTGGCCAGTGAAACATCAGTGTCATTGCCTGCAGCTCTAGCTGTTTACCATCTGAGAGGCCAGAAAATCAATCAACTTGCTTTGTATGTTGCGGCATAAATATATGTTTCAGCGTTCGAAAATAGGTAGGTGGGATGTTTGAAAGAATTGGAGATGTTTTCATCTATACTATCTTTGTTGGCGGAACATTACTCCTATAACTTCTCAACCTCAACACTCGATTGTATTGAGCTTGTTTTCATGTTTTATACAAACAGTTTTCTTTATGATTGTGTATTTTTTAAGTTCTTAATACACAGATTCTTTATAACTAATAAGCTAACTTGAATCCTTCTTCCAATAGAAAAAGACTCAAATATGAAGCTCTTTCGAAAGTGTCATTTCAAACCTTTTTTTTTTGTGCAATTCCTATTTCCTTTTTCCTAACAACAAATGAAAACAATTGTGTTGTGGAGGTCTCTCAGTCATTCATCATTCACATAATCTTCAATCAGTTTGAGTCTGACAAAAGAGAGACTCCAGGCACCTTGCTCGTCATTAGGAGTCCAGATCCATAAGTAGCGTTTTGTCTCAACACAGGAGGTATGCTACTCCAAACACATTCTTCAGCTGACCACCATGCCGTCTTTAGCATGTCTCTGAACAGAAAAATAACATTTGAACTCTTGAGAGGACTGTTAGTGTACAAAGCCAATGAGGTCAAAAGCCATGCTACCTCACTTTTAAAAGCTTTCTTCAGCAGCAACAATTAGCTGCCTTTGCTTCTTACTGCCTAGCCGCAGAATTGCACTTAATTGTTCCTCTGTCTGCATGAGTTTCGACATATTTTCCTCTTGAGTTGTACTGTCAGTAACCAGTGTCTGACCTTGTATAGAAACCAAGGCAGTACCTATACTCAATGTAAGGTATACTGTCTACTTAATTGGCACCCGGGGAATAGGGCGCTTTAACTCTCAGCGGGCCATTGTAAAAGAATGTTAATTAGTTCAACAATGAAATGTGTGTTCCCCATTGTTAGGCCCTTGGCATTGATACTTTTGACAGAGAGCTGAAGGAGAGTCAAAGAGCAAGTCTTTGATGTAGATTGAAATCTCAATGAAATCCTTCAGCACAGCCTGGATGTACATGAATGGGCTCAAAGAGAAAGTTATACAATCATCAAAATGCTTCAATGCTTTAATGTTTATGAATAAAATATGTAGGGAACTGTTCAGTATTGTGTGTAGGATGCATGACGTGCAATTAAACATGTTATTGAGTGAGTGAATAGATAAACATTGTCTGTGTTGTATTTGTTGTTTCTGATTAGTTTCTGGCACAGTGATGAGAAGATTTTTACAAGTTTACAAGTCAAGTAGGCGTTAAAGCAGAAAAGCGAGTGTGGTGTGGGTCTATTTCAGCTATGTGCAAACTGGAGCCAAGCAAATTACAACATTTATAAGTGCTCACACTCACATCGTGCAGGGCTCCTTTTATTATTCTCTGTTATGAAGAACTGCTGGAGCTGGGTTTTATAGGTTCACGGTCGTTAATCTTTTCTTGTTTAAAAAGAAAAACAATGTTTCACTTTGTATTTGTTTAGTAATCAATTCAAATATACAGTGTTGTGGTAGGTAATGCTGATTTGAGGCCTGACGCTTTGGGGGTAGAAGTCATGTCTCTGTACGCCCGGCGGGTCAGGGCAGTCACCCCTGTCTTCTCATGGTGTAAGTAGCAGCTCACTACCTAGTGAGAGGCGGATTTGTATCTAAGGCGATTTGGGAAGGGTTGTGTGTGGCTAATCTGCAATGATTCAAAGGCTATTATAACAAGGACCATATTTTCTCCTCCTCTTCTTCTTCTTCTTCTTCTTCTCCTTTTTCATCTCACACTCACTTGCGCTGAGACTTAACACCAACTTCTGTAGATGTAGATACTCTTCTTAGCTTTGATAATCCCTTTGATGTCGGACTGTCTGCTGTGATGAGTCTGTTTAAGGGGTTTAGTGTAGTGGGTTTGGCCTTGGTGAGTTTTTTCTTGGAAAATACAAAGCTGTGTTCTGGCCCAGCTTCCCGGGCTGTGTGCACAGACAAGCTTGGCGCTGACTCTGATGCTGGCACTGGCGTGGGGCTGGGCCTCACGGCAGCAAGAGCTGTGTGCCTTTGTGCCAGGGAGTCACGCTCCGCCTCGCGTGCCCGCTGGGGGCATCACTTGAATAATCTCGGAGCAAGTTTTCTTTTTTTCTGACCTAACAGTTGCACACAATCTCTCTCTGTGTGACTCTCTGGAAAGATTGAGTTTTTCAAAGACAATGGAAGTCTTCACAATAATTGGGTTATCTAAAGTTGAGGACTCCAAACTATGCTTGGCTCGTAAACAGTGACAGTGATAAAAAGACTGAATAGCATTTGTTGACTGAATGTCATTTTATGCTGAATTCATTTCTCAAAATGTTCATTGCCATAACTTCCATAAGCACAACTGGTTATTAAAGGCAACACTAAACACTGCAGGGTGCTATGATTGCTGACATAAAAGTAATGAGTGCATTCAGACAAAATGGGCCCCTATACTTACGAAATATTGGGAAAATGTATTTTAGTTGTGATAGAATATCTAAGGTACATTTAAATCTGTAGTGTCTGTGAGTTCGCACGATATACTATTTACCCGTCATACATTTATCCCTCACTTTTTCAGGTAGCTCCCTAAATCCATCTTTCCCTTTCTGAGAGATGGCAAAAACTTCTGCAAGCAATCTTTCTTCCACCATATCACATGTGGCAGTGCATCACCGCTAATCTGAACAGCACCAATCTGTGTGTCCTCTTATGGCCTGTTACACCTACTGAAATCCATCCAATTCTAATAAATTATTCATTGTGGTTGCAACATTTTCTTCAGACGATTCAGAAGTGTTTATGATGATGATTTAAAGTGTGTTAATCGTTAATTTCATTGATGTGGTTCAATAGATTTTTTCTAGGAATATCACTTAGTTTTCAGTATGGGCTGATGTGCTGGTCAGTAACAGGAATAAGCTGAAGCAGCTTTGTGTCCATAACAACATTTGCCTTTTTATTAGCTATTTGGAGCCTGCCTCTTCCCCGTCTTCTTTCCCTGTTGCTCTTCCAAACTATTTCAAAAGGGTACAGTCTGCCTGTGGACATGGACAGTCTTACGTGCATGTTTAATTAACTCCGCTTCGACCTTAACCTTTGCAGATTTGCCTTTTTCCTTTCTCCAATTAAACAAGCTCTTGACGTTTCCCTAGTCTGTTTCTCTGTCTCTGTCCCCCCCTTTTAACTTCACTCTGTCATGGTGAAGGAATCCATCGCTCACGGCCAGCTCAACACGTGCAGTTCAGCTGAGGGAATGCCAGTTGAGTATGCACAGTGTACGGCTGACAACCTGGTATTTTTTTCCTCATAATATATGGCTGGTGTTGAAAGTGCTATTCACAATCAATTGTTCCAATCTGGCATCATATGTATTTGATGTTAACATCACTTAATGTTCAGATAATAAACAGGCCGGGCTCAGAGAGGTGGGGAAATTTGAGGATTTTGATATCCTCTTCAGACTGCATACTGAGGCTGGTCCCTGTGTGAGTCTGTAAAATGTCGTCATGGGATTTCTTTGTTTGTGTGGCTTACACTCAGCCAGAGGGGATGCACATTGCCTGACCTGAATATTCTTAAAGCTCACGACTGACCCCGCGTCTCTTGGTACAACTTTTCCTGAGCCCCGGAATGACACAATCATTTATGGCGGGTTTTTTACAGCATGCTTGTGTTATGTCACTGTAATTCAGCTAAGCTAAAACCCTTGGCTCTTAACTGTATATGTACCATGCTCTCTCATCAAATGCCTTTATAACATTGAACAGTAGGTGTCCAGCGTGAGGGAATTTGAGAATATGTTAGTTATTTTCTCCCATATGAGAATGATTTTTAAATCCAATAAATACGTTCCTAACATCTTTTCCTCTCCACATCATTACTCTTCATTATTTCTTTGTTTTTTTCACAGAGAAATCCAAGACGCCGGTTGCTTTTGAGAGCAATGGGATTATGGGAGAGGAGCTGGATTCTCTCAAAGCCACCATAGCTGATCAACACATTTATGACAGCAACTCCACCAACACACACGCCGATTCCCATCGCAGACGCAAGCGCTTCCTCTCTTACCCTCGCTACGTTGAGTTGATGGTGACAGCTGATGCCAAAATGGTGCGCCATCATGGACGCAACCTCGAGCACTACATCCTAACAATCATGTCAGTAGTAAGTAAAACAATGTTTCTAAAAATTATTATTTTGTTTGAATGTTGAAGATTTATTCATATGAAAAAAGACTGAATAGTTTCAAGAGTAACTGGGTCTTTTCTATTAAGAGTTTTTCTCAACGCTATGAGCCCAACATCGTAAACTTTATAGTATTGGGGAGATGAGCAAAATCAAAGAAACTGACACCTGAAAACTTGAGACAAATGATACACAAACTATCTCCAAGGCATGATCGTATTTAAAACATGTTTTCTTTGTTTTACTTTGGTGAACAAAGCCCTCCTCTAGTTCAGTTTGTGTTTTTTTGGCCTCAGATGTTACTGTTTGACATTTTGGTTGTAAACCCGGACGTGACCCTAGCCTGCTGCTGCTTGAACGAAAGTTGCCCAGTTAATTGGTAAAATCCTGACTCAGCACTTCCGAATCCTTAAGCTGGCTGGTAATCAAGCCTGTTTCAATGTGATTGACTGACTTTGTACATATAAGAGAGTGTAACATATGTGTTAAAAGTGTTGGTGTCAAAGCAGAATAGGTTATCGATTTGTACTGCCCTGTGTAAACTGCTGCTGTCTGTCTCTCACCAGTTTGACGGACAGATTAACACGGTGTAATGATTGTCAGTGGAGTGTTATCCTTAAGTAAGACTGTGAGGGTACACTCAGTGTTAAATTTGCCAGACCGGTTTTTATTGCCAGCTCTGAAAGCAAAACATTAGTTCTGCCATGGTTCTGCCTGCAGACCAGTGGGGCAGAAACACACACAAACACACATTTTCTTCCCTCTATAACAGTCTCTTCACCACTTTACTTTAGCCACAGTTGAACCAACCCAGCCAAAATATTAGGCAAACCTACCGTGTCGGAACCCTTAAGGTTCTCTCTGGGTGAGGTTTTTAGGTTTTGGCCACGCAGATTGAATGCTTGAATACAAGTTATTGTGGCTCTTTCAGATATTCAGAGATGTAGCTGAGATTAAGGAATACTTGTTTCAAAAGGTTGTGTTTAGCGCCCTAGGGACGGCAGATTGAAAACCTCCAATCAGTCAATTTTGTGGAGAAAATATTAGAATCATTCTTTAAAAAATCCCCATGTAAAAATGTGTGTAATCGATCAATCCGAACTGTTCTTTATGTAATGAATCCCCAAAGATACAACACTAGTTTCCATGATGGTAGCTCACATTTCATGCTAACTGTCTGTGTGACATACTCTAGTGTTGATGGTCTGGTTTTGGCTGCAGTCCCCCTCACTCCGGGTATTGCACAGATCGTACAATAACATACATTAGGGCGAGACCATACAGAACAACTTCCTGCGTCACAGATAGACTTGGAGCATGACAAGACAGGCTCCCTTTGGTCATTCTGGACAGGCCTGGGCCACGTTTGCCTCCCCCTAGGCTAAGACAAGCTAAATGTTTATGGTGGACTAATGAGTTCCTGTCAGGAGGACGCACACGGCTTCAGCAAACTGCTGGCCGACCGTGACAGGCAGGCACGAGAAAAGCAAGAGAAGCGAAGAGGAAAAACTACAGAGGGAATGTTTTGCTGTCCTCATAGAGGGGCTTTGCTGAAGTTTCACATTTGTTGCCGAGTCCACTCGTAGTTCATTTGTTCTTTGCCATGGTCTCTGCTGGAGTTGTAATTGGTTTTAATACCCTGTTGATTAAACTTACCCTGAAGGAGAAATGATTGGTCTTTTGACTTGAATGAACTGTTGCTATTTTATTAAACCAGATGGAGTTTAACTAAAAAAAGTAATAGCTGGGTTGTTTTAATCCAAGTATTGAATTAGCTACTACATTTCCCTCAGTCCCTGTCTGTGCACTGGTTCAGATTTGTAGAGGTTTGCATTTTTTGTCTGTGTGTTTTGTCTTATTACAGGTAGCAGCAGTGTACCGGGACCCCAGCGTAGGAAACCTCATCAACATCATGATTGTCAAGCTAGTCGTCGTCCACAATGAACAGGTGAGTGCGGGGTCTTGAATGCTACCTGTATCCAGATCTCCAATACGGCTGACGTCAGTGCAGGTGTCCCTGGCCTGGCCCTTTCTCCGGGGGGCCTGTTTGAAAGGACACTGCCTGCCTTGTCAGTTTCAAGTTTCGAGAGAGGACTCATTGGAAAACAAACGATAGCATAGTGAGGCAGCTTGCCACCTGCATATGAGAGGCTGACTTGTTGGGTCACTGTAAGTGCCATTGAAATAGTTAAAATATAGGGAACTGAAGTTGTTTGAAAATCTGTAGGATGCTCCTGATCTTTGACCTTATATTTGCCTCAGGGCATATTACACAACAAAGTAATTCAAAAACAAATCACTATCAGTAGTCACAATACGACAAAAAATGAGAGAACAAGACATGTTGAAAAGGGCGGGATATCCGTATTATATGGAATTTTTTAGATAAAATTAGAAGCTGTATACTTGGTTTCTTGATAACTGCAAAGATGTTTCATCCCAAACAGGAAGGGCCTACAGTTAGCTTTAATGCTGCCACCACTCTCCACAACTTCTGCGTCTGGCAGCAGACCCAAAACATCCAGGATGACAGCCATCCCTCTCACCATGACACATCACTCCTCATCACCAGGTACACCTTCATCTACATCCTCACTCTAAAATCAAAAGCTATTATGCTCAGGAAACCTTGAAAGAGTGCTAACTGCATTGTATGTTTTTTTCATTTCAGGGAAGACATCTGCCGTGCGAAAGATAAATGTGACACATTAGGTAAACTTTTGCCCTTCTCTTTGCGAAAATATATCCCAGTCTTTCTCAATTACCTTTCCACTCTAGTAACCACAGCTCATAAACTGTGCAGTAATGAGTTTATGGCAAGCTGTCAGCTAATAATATTATAGTGACAGAACAGAGTGGTAGAAATGGGAGGAGGGAGGGAGCATGGAGGGAGTCGGTGGCGGTGCTAATCTCTCTTATGGAACAGAGGTTTTGATGGTTTAATCGCCTTTAACACCCAAGCAGCAGGCTTTTTTTTCCTTTTTTAAATAGCTGTGTGTCTGTAAGTGTTCATGTGTATCTGTGTGTGTACGTGATCCTGTAGGGCTTGCAGAGCTGGGGACCATGTGCGACCAATACCGGAGCTGCTCCATCAGTGAGGAAAATGGAATTAGTGCCTCCTTCACCATCGCTCATGAGCTGGGCCATGTGTAAGTTGCAGCAGAGAACTTGAAGAAAACCCCTACCCCAACACACACACATTACACACACATTACATTGACTTACATGCATTTCCTGGAGACTTATCCTAACCTTAACCATAACCAACACATGCCTAACCCTAACCATTACCCTTAACCTAACCCTTACCCTAACCCTAACCAAGTCTTCACCCTAAAATGAATGATTCCCCTCATGGGGACCTCTAATTTGTCCCCATAAGGGAGGCCAGTCCCCACACGTGACTGTGTAAACAGATTTAGACACACACACACACACACACACACACACACACACACACACACACACACACACACACACACACACACACACACACACACACACACACACACACACACACACACACACACACACACACATATACTGTCTCACCCCTCACAGCCAGCTTTGACCAACAAAAGCCCTCTTATTAAGAGATGTAGGGTGCAGCAGACACAGGTGCAAAACATAATAAAGTGAAAACTTGATTTTTAATAACATGCCAGCCCATAATACCACACTGTACAGCTCAGGAAATTAACCCTGTGTGTGTCAGAGGCAGAGCTTTGTCTTAAAAGGATATGTTGTTAAATATAAAACAAAAAAATATACATTTTCAAAGATTTCTCGAAAGTGGCAGAACCTTTATCAGACAGTGCAATACTAAATGTTCTCAGTCCCTTTGTCCATCTATCAGCTCCAAAAGACTGACCAAACACCCTGATATCACAGTGCAGTCATATGTGACTTGTGAGTGACAGTAGTGTTATCACAACACGCTTGTCGGCCAGAGGCTGTTTCCACAACAAGCAAATATTGCAACTTGTAAGAAGAGGAAAAAAAAGACTTGGTCATTTAGATAGATACTATCTATACAAGTAAAACACATCACTTTATCTCTGATATGGGAGATGTTTAGTACAAACATCCATCTGGCAAAATGACAGTAAATCACTCATTAAGTTAATTAAAATGTGGTGTGATTTGAAGTTTGATTTAAGTTTATCACACTGGTTTTCCCTCACACAACCATTGTCTTCTCGATCTAACCTAACTCATTTCATGGTGGTATTTTTGGGGAAATTCAAACATCTGCCCTTTTATTTTTACCCTATTCTTTCTTCCTACCTAACTTCCTGATGTAGCAAACAAGGGAAAATGAGTGAGAGGTTTTCTTTCCGGTCTGCTTTTCGGTTTGTGTAGGCTAGATAAAAAGGACCAATGTCGTGTGAGCTATTGGTGAAGAATGAAAGATATTCTTCTACCTCCTCTGTCCCGCTCACACATTCTTCCAGTGGAGAAATGGGACCGAACCAGCCAGATGGACGAGTGTACGGGCCCCCACTTCTTCCCCTTGCATCTTGTGTGGATCTGTTTATGCTAAAGTTCAAGCAGCTGGAGGCCTAGTTGGCTCTGCCTCTTGGCGTGGTTAATCGCTGCGTTCACAGGCGTGAGCTCTCGGAGTGTTTAGCGCTCTGGGAAAGCCAGTGTCAGGTAGTGGGAGCCACTCAAGAGCATGGCAGATTAAAGAAAGATTTAGCCTAATGGACGGAGGCCTTTCTCAGAATACTGCAAGGACGTGTGATTACTAATAGCCATCATGGGGATTACCAGGCGAGGCGGTGTCATTTGATAGCCGTTCAAAGGTGACACATATAATCAAGTTTGTCATCAGACGATGCTAAGGCTCTAAATGTCTTAGATCACCATTACATCTTCCTGATGTTTTGATATCAATTTAGATTTAGAAGCTGGAAACTGGCATTTATCTCAAACATCTTATGAAATATGAACGTCTACACTACAAAATGTCCCTGACGTTGTTGTAACCCAGTAAACACGATTACTGAGAACTAAAATGTAGCAACTCAATTGTCTCTCTGGTGTGGTCCCTGAGCTCTGTCTCTGTTAAAGTGGTGATAAATGAATGATGGTGCTGCAGACTTCACTCCTGCAGGAATTAAGGTCTTCATCGCTCTAGCAGTATGTCTTACTCTTACAATTATTAACGGGCTTTTCAGCATATAAATATGTTGTTGTCTTGCTGAAAATCTTTTTAGATGACAGCCTTTTCTGAACGATGCGTTTTGCAGTGAACAAAGCTATTTGTTTTTTTGAGAGCTCTCACTAAAAGTAAGTGGACTTATTAAATGTAAGCCTGGATGCTTATAATGAAGTGCTGGGATTGCTATCCGCCCACTGGAATTGACTCCTCTTGATTGATCCCTTGTGGTTGCAAAACAAAAAGCCACTAAACATTCGGATTTATGACCTAATCACACTAAAAGGTTCTCGTCTAATTTCAAGCCAGTGTCCTGGTTCAACTCAATCATCATTATGTGTTCAGAGTACAAATCGTTCAGAGTTTTTCCACAAATTCTTTTCCCAATAACAACATGTTCTACATTGCAAAGTATTAAGATGTTTATTTTCATTTTAAACTTGCCTGTCACTGTCTGCAACACTCTCATACACCTGTACACCTTTAGAAGATACAAATAATACTGAATAGTAAATACTTGGTTTGTTTGTGCGGACAGAGCTCATTACCGTGCCAGAGGATTAATTATTCCCTGGGTGTTTGCCTTCAGGCCCTCGGCCCCTGTAGGGTGGGCCTCATGCCAGCCATGCTAAGGTCTTGTTTGTGTGGGGGTATGGGTCGACCCACAGTCACAGTCCTGCGCCCACATACTGTTGTAAACATCCCCGACATCATACAGCTGCATGTTTTCCTGTGTGTATATAAACACGTGCATGCGCGTCTACATGCACTATATGTCTTTATGGGAATAGGCCAAACCGCAGCACAGAACAGGCAGATCCGTTTTGGACTATTCTATTATTCTGGACATGATCAAAAAACTTGCTTTATGAGACTGCCAACTGCAGACAGCCTGAATGAATTCATTAAAATGCAGATGCCATGCTGTGTACTTGACTTGATACAGCTGTTGTTCTGTGAAGATTCTTCTTTTATTGTTTATCATGAGTGATGTTCAAACAATGAGCTGATTAACTGATCAGTGGATCAAAAGCAAAATGATTTGCCAACTGCCTTGATAATCGTTTAAGCTGTAATTTAGTAAAAATACCAATAATTTGCTGATTCCAGCTTCTCAACTGTAAGGATTTGTACAAATTGAATATATTTTAGTTCTAGTTTAGTCAAATAATGCAATTTCAAGAATTTCATTTAAATAATTACAGTTTTCTGACACATGAGACATCAAATAAATATTGGGTTATTGAATAGATAGTGAACATATTTCCAAGTTGCAGCCACTGTAGTTGAAATACATTTAAATTCTTACATGTTGACACTTGATCAACATAGACATGTGTGATAATGCTCATGGTGTTAGTGCCGCTATCTTTCCCTCTTCTTAAAGCCCTTTGAGAATAGGATTTGGTGACCTTTGACCTCTCAGAGGTGAACTGGAGGTGGTTCCCACTAGCATGTTGGCCATGATGGTGGAGAGGAAGGATGCCGATAAGGAAAGAATGACGTTTTGCACGAAAAGTTGTACCACCTAGTTGGAGTTTAATTGAAACCTTTTGGGATTTTTAGAGCATAAACATTTGGGAGATAATGCAAGGAAGGAGGTGCATGAAAAAACATACAGGAAACAGATGAATGTAGAGTGAGCAGCAGACTGTGGGGTGTTACCTATAGATGTGTCTGCGGCTGCATCTGTGTGTGGCGGCCCACAGGGATGGTGTTGGGTGATCCCCTGTTATAAATTGCTAAACGTAAATCCTGTGACATTTATCCTGCTTGCAACGACTAAGCCATTAAGCAGATAATAATCACTTTGTGTGTGTTCCGTATATCCCTTTCTCCATCTCTAACCCCCCTTTTCTTCTTCCTCTCTGCACCAGGTTCAACATGCCTCACGATGACAACCCAAAGTGTCGGGAGGCGGGCATGAAGCACCAGTATCATGTAATGGCTCCCACCCTCAACTATGACACCAATCCCTGGTCGTGGTCCAAGTGCAGCCGCAAGTACATCACAGAGTTTCTAGAGTAGGTACCAACTCTCCTCAGTTTGAAAGTGATTATTAAACATATGAATGATTATTGGCTCTTCTTATTAGGGTTGGGCAATAGGAAGAAAATCAGATATCACAATATTGTAGGGTTGACTTTTGATGCCTTCACAAAATATTTGCACAATAAGAATGTTGCTAAATAATCATCAGTTATGTGGATCTAGCAGCAAAAACATAAAGAAGTAAAACTCAAAATTAAGCAAATCTTATTGTTGTAAAATATTCAATATTCCGGCAAGAATATATTTTTGTGCATTTATTTTGTTGTAGTCCATTATTCTAATTTCATAAAGAACAATTGTTTTACCTAAACTCCTATACTTAAAAAACATGTGCCCTCTCTGGTGGGCCAATCCCACCACCACCTACCTCCAATTAACACATAATCACCAGGTGCCCAAAACCGCCTTCAAAATAAAAGCATAAAGAATTACTTTAACTTAAATAATTATAATAAATAATGATTTTAATCTAAACAAAAACAGCTAGAAAATAAATGTTGTATTACTAAATAACATAAATCAATCTATACAGTTGTTCCAACATTGGATATTCTAAGTTATAAGTATAAGTTGAGGGAAAAAATGATATCAAGATATGGCCCAGCCCTACTTCTCATGGACTAAATGGAGTCATGTAGCACAGTGGACTAGTGCGTTGGTGTTCGGCTCAGGGGAGCACAGGTTCAAACCCCACTGCAGTCAGCATGTCGTTGTGTCCCTGAGACACTTCACCCCAAATTGCTCCTGTGGGGATTGCCCACAGTATTGAGTATGTAAGTCGCTTTGGATAAAAGCTTCTAACAAGTAACATGTAACTAAAGTGATGCTCCTCGATTTCTTTCTTTTTCTTGTATCATCACATCCACATTTTGAGTGTGCCATTAACTTTTACTTGTTGTGACGTGGCCGGTTAAACAAACCGCTTGTACGTGTCTCGCAGCGCTCTGTAGACAGGCCAGCGCAATGTAAACTGTGAGGACTTGTTATTGCCTGGCATTGAAAGAGTATTTCCTGTTTGAATCGGGGGTCTTCCTCGGCTGACCTGAGCGATGGATCCTCCACAGCCCCTCAGCTGTCTCCCCACTCAGACAGAGCCCTGCTCTCAAGATGCTGGGCAAACAGTCATCTAGTCACTAGCCTGCTTTCCACGACAAAACCTGTAACACGGGGCAACGGCTCATTCAGCGACTCCTAACCCGCTGTGGTCATCCTGGTGAAAGGCTTCCCTTTTAAGATGGGAAATGTCAGTTATAATTATATTTTCCCTGGACATGACCCTTTAATATTTGCCTCATTCCCTCTGTTAATTGTGGAGGTTTCCACAAAGGACGGCGTTGTTGACCCGATGCATCTCGAGAACGCAGTGTTAGGCGACGCCTCGTATGAAGTTTTAAGGTTGTGCTTCACATAGTTTCCAGCCAGCGATGACCTCAACATGGAGTGGTTGGAAAATTCAGCTGAAGATAATTCGCCATGAATCTGTTTATTATTTAGTCCAATCCATGTCGGATGTGTTGAGTTTTTGAATGATTACAAAAACCAGCAGTATCATGCAAATGTGAAATTCATTTGAGATAACATTTGTTGACCATATGGGATCTATAACAAACGATGCAGGTTTCAGAGTGGGAGCCGTAGCGGTGGGAAAGGCCCTTTAGAGAGTTGTCCAAGTGTTTTTTTAAATCCGTCTCCAGCCAACAATGAAAAGCATTGATTCAAACTGCCACTTCTTCAGTGGTACTCCTGCTCAGTGGGCTGACCTGGTCAAGTACATCAGTGTTTTGACTGCCCATTCTCCCTGAAGAACAAATACACTCTGCACTGCTCTCCAACCAGTTTAAAAAAGATGAAAGGCCATGGCACCTCTCACACATCCCCCTTTTCAAGAGGCAAAGGATTCCCCTCCTCCTTATCTCAATGTTTCTGTAATAATGTGCACTGAACCCCCGCACCTGAAAGCTGATGAAAAGCGTCCTGCTGCTGTGAAGGGTTATTATGTGTTAACCGTTACATAAAGCAACCATTCATTCCCTCTATGGAACCGTGCCAATGTAAGCCTGAAAATACAAATATAAAAGTAAAATGCAAATCTTTGACTGTTGCCACCCACTAATTGTTATGTTCGCTTGGTATTGAAACCATATAATCATTACTCGTGAGCAAACCCTATCATTTTCCATTACATACCTCAAAAATTAGCCTATCCACTCCAACACCTAACACTCTTCCAAACTCCCATGTGAAATCATTCTTACATTTTTTCAATCTTCAATTTCCATAATAAAATCAAGATGGATATTTTTGTTTGGTATGTTGCTCCAAATTCAACTAAACCTCTCATTATTTAGTTATATATCTCCCTGTACAGTAATCAATACATGCCATCAGAATCAAAACTCTGACAATCGTGCAGTTTATTTGGCGCTGTTTGATCAAACACTACAATGATGCCCTATGTCACTTCTTGTGCAAAAAACCATCACTCTGACATATGAGTAGACTTCTTGCAGTGTTTGAGGAGGGAAACCCAGTATGGCTTACATGGGAACTATTATTGTTTAGTCTTTTATGACAAGCACACAACAGCCAACTAACTATAAGTCATCTTATAAATAAACTCACTTTCAAGTTTCCCAATGGCTGCCAGGTGTGTAATCTCCTCTGGTGCCAGAGAGGAATTGCCTCGCTGTCTCGAATCCACACAGCTGATATTCTTTAAAAAAAGAGTAAATGTTTAATTTAAAAAATGACCACAGTGACCCCTTCTTCCTCTCCCTGTCTTAATAATCATTCCATAAGGTTCCAGAGCACTGATTAGAGAGATGACCTACTGCTGAAAGATACTGTAATATGGGACTGTCTGTGTGATTCCTTGACAGGCTGCCCCAGATTTTATTCACAGTATCCTCCACTGCTGGTTTACTCTTCTCATGCAATCATTCCCCTGCCACCCAGCGCTGTTTTACTGCACATTCTGACATTATGGCTGGAAATGAAAGGGGAAAGAAACAAAGTGACGTTAACTCAGTATAATCCTGTGTAATTATGGGCTTGTCACATCAGCTGGTGCTGTATGAAACAGGTGTTTTAGCCGCCCAATCCCGGATTACATTTGTCAGAGCCGTGCAGACATGTTGGTTGATTACACATCTATACATGTCACATCCGCCAGTTTTCTTTCTCGAAAAGTAAACAAAAAAAAGAACAGCTTCTTTGAAGCTTACCTCGCTCTGCTAACATGTTTGACTTGTGCTTTTCACAAGCGTACTGTAAATGCTGAGGATTTAATATGCAGGCTGTTGGTGCATACATTCAGTCCAGCTGGGCTTTTGTTGTCTCTGTAACTGTGTCATGGTTCAGGGTGTGGCTCAGCACAATATGTCATTATACTGCAATGCTGGCGCTGGCACAGATTGTTGTAACTTAATCAGGGAGCTTTATGGTTCCAAATTCTCAGATACATATTTTTTTTCAGCGTGCTGATCCTTTTGAGCCCATACCAAAATGCTATTTTATTCAGTCTGTGGCGCCTGACTCCAGTTTCATAGTGACAGCATTTACTAACAGGCCATTGAGGGGAAGTGGAATCAGTCTCTCGGTTAGGTAACTGTACAGACCACCCACAGGGGAAAACACATCTGAGGATGATCAGAACAGACATAGAAACCTTTTGTATGCTCTTATGAAGGAGAGGACACATGATTGTACTTTCTGAGTTCTGAAAATACTGGATTATCTTGAAATTGTACATACCACGAAAGGGTGCCCTGTGCAATTTTGTCTGCACATGTGTCTGTTATGTATGTTTTTTTTGTTCTCTTTTTCATTTACTATTCTCACATTCTTCCTTTTTTTAGCACCGGGTATGGTGAGTGCCTTCTCGATGAGCCTGTGAGTAGGACGTATGAGCTGCCCACCCTGCTCCCAGGTCAGATCTACAACGCCAACAGGCAATGTGAACTGATGTTTGGACCTGGTTCCCAAATATGCCCTTACATGGTAAGTTGGCATGCTATCAAAGTTAAGAGTTAAGACTTAAGGTGGATCTTAGATGGTGGTTATCTTCTAAGACCTACAGCAGAACCTTCTGAGCAGAGCAATTATCCATGAAAGCAAACAGATATGAAACAGTAGTCATGTATTTACATTGCTTTTATGAATACTCACTTTAATTGTGGAATATGGAATGCATTTATTTTGAAAATTACCATGCCGAATGTATAGCATGCTTTTTTACGAAATGCAAAGAGGCAGAAAAAACGTTTAAGGAATGCATGGCCACCAGTAAAAAAAACGCTTGGCCATTAGAATTGCATCTTTCACATGTCTGGACATCACCAGTACATACACATGTTTCAGTTCCTGGCTACTTAGGCTAAAATATTGTTTGAAGAAACAAACAACTGTATTTCAATCACTAATCACGCAACCTTCCTCCCAAGAGAAAGATGGCTAATGGAAGGAAATAGCTGTCAAATGCTGCTGTCTGCTCAAAAAAGTCATCATTTTTAAATGTGCATGTGTTGGAAGCTTGTGTTCTCACATTATAGGCATGCTCTATTCCTGTTAAAGCATACTGATTAATTGCTGGTGCTCATGTTACTCCACAGAAACAGTGCAAGAGGCTGTGGTGTACCAGTGCAGAGGGGGACCATAAAGGGTGTCGCACACAGCACATGCCCCTGGCTGATGGGACTGACTGTGGGCATGGAATGGTAAGTCAATCCACATGTGGATCTACGCTGCCTTATGAACTGATCATGAGCATTTGGTTTTCTATAATGTGCTTTTTAACTGACTCACAGATGTTTTAGTTGGTGCACTTGATGCAGCAGGTTTGCGGGTACAGGTCAAAGTCTCAAAACGGCTGCAATCAAATAATTTTGAAATGACCACTTTAATGTACAACATACAACATTATTTAACTCTGATTTCTCTTAACTTCTTGTAGTTGGATCGAATGCATCTCCCAAAAAACGTATTTTTAAAGGGTATTCTGCCATTTCATCCATAAGCAAGCTTAATTATCCTGACACAGTAAAGCCCATCCATCTACTATTATAAGCAGAACAAAAAAACGTATTCTGTTCCCTAATTGGAATTGTTGTTAAAACAGGCCTCATTGCAATTTAGAGCAAATACATTACTGACACAAGACCAAACCTCCCAAGCCGGGCTGCTTTGAATCCTGATGCCTTCCCCTTCTAGTTCACTTCCTCTACAAAGAAAAAGGAATAATTTATCATGCATTACTCTCCTGCCTGCATTCTGGTTGCAGAAACCCATGTAAATGTGGTCAGGTGATGGCCCTAGTTAGAAACTTGAAGCTTTACCCTCAGTGTTGTTACGGGGCCCCAACCCCCATTAGCCTTCATGTTCTCCTCGCTCTGGGATGCTATGCTAATTAGGGCTGAGACGGCGGGTCAGTCACTGAGGATACATGGAAAGAGGGGCTGCAGAGGGAGGGGGGGGGGGCAGAAAGAGAAAGAGAGAAAGACGAAAGAAAGAGAGACAGAGGGGCGAAAAAGAGGGAGAGAGTCTTGAGAGGGAAAGGTGAAGACGAAGGCCCTTTGAAAGAGGATGCCACCCGCCGTTCACAGTTGAGTCACCTTGTTGCGAACCCATGACCCTAAAACCTCTTTAAAAGGCGGGTGAGTGGGTCAGTGGTCAGGCCGTAACAGAGCCCGGGCTGAGGCCAGCCAGCGCTCTCACAAAAGACCTCACATCAGTGATTCTGCAGTGCGGGAGGCGGGGGGGGGGGGAGGAGGAAAGCGAGGAGGAGGTACAGGGGGATGAGGATGTGGTGGGCTGATGTTTAGCATTCGGAGCATGCATGAGGGAGGGAGAAAGAGAGCGAGAGAGGGAGGGTTCTCTCGTCTCCTTAACCTTCTGCCCTCCTGGACTCCTTTGCAGTGTGGGCCCATGTAAGTCTTACATCCCTAATATCCTTTCATCTGGCTCCATCTCCCTCCTCACCATCTTAGGTCCTGGATCAGCCCTGTTTAGTGAGGAGAGGTTAACAGGGGATAGCTAACGTCTTAATCCAACTACAACAACCACCCTGAACCTTAATGGTCCTGGGATAGTGACTCCCATACTGCTCTCAGACTGAGTAGAGACTCGGTATGGTCTAGAAACGGTTGTGGAGACACGGTGTTGGTTTAATCACACAAAGTGGTTTGCTTTAATAAGCTACAAACGCTTAACCCCATTTTAGCTGACTTGGCTGATTACCATAGACGCCCTGTCGTTATTGGAACCCTGTAAACATTGATCTATCCATTTGCAGGTCTAAAGAGGGCTTGGTCAAAACAAGGTTACATTTTATTGAAACATTTACATTTGTAATACGGACTGATTGTTTTTGATTTGTGACATGTTGTCATGTAAAGGCTGTAACAAAGATGATCTTACTTTGTAGCTATATTTCTAATGTCTGTTGATCATCCAATCACATTAAAACGTTAATGTATCTAATGATTTTTATCGTCCTCTGGGGAGCATGATTATACAATTGTTTATGGAATGCCATCCAATAATAAATAAAACCATTAGGATGAATGCTTTTGGGACTATAAATGTCTGTTTTACTGTCAGTCCTTCCGATAGTTTTTGAGATATTTCAAACTGAAAAGTATTGGATAAACTGACCAAATGACCTGGCCAACCCTCGAGCCCTAAAAATCTAAAGAAATGTTTAAGTGGTACAGTTTATTTGATATGAGCAGAAACACAAATCAATGTTCCCTATTTCTATGTGTGTCTGAGTGGAGGCACCACCTTTGTTTGCGGTGCTGAGGGCCCAGCTCCATCTTCATGCAGGGGGCTGTTTGAAGTGGTGTGAGTTGAAAGAGATTGGGACCCTGCACAGACACTCACCTGCCCACACAAGAGCTCTTTTATGTGGCATGTTGGTATGGTGTGTTTGTGCGAGTACGTTTGTGTGCCTCAAAAGTCTGATAATCTTGAAACCTAGATGAGTCCTCCTGATTCTCTTACGTCAGTATTGCGTTGTTCTTTCTTTGCATCGCTTGGTGCCTGTCTTGCGTTTGTCTACCGTCTCCTTCTGCCTTTTCCTAAACGTACTTAAAGCTCTGCATCTATAACACCTTCTCACCTCTTTGCTGACTCCTTTGTCATTCTTTCTTCAAAGAAGTCATGAGGTTCAGGTCTAAGGCTTTACAGGGCCGAGATCCTGGCTCTGAGGTGTTTGTGGAGCCCTAAGCATGTGTGTGTGTGTGGGGGGGGGGGGGGTGTCAGATCTGGAGGATTACAGCTATGGCCTCTATGGGGCAAACGAGCAGCAGGTATTGTCTTAGCAGCCGCAGCCCCCCCTTTAAAGGTCTATTTGAAAGCCTATCATTACACCAAAGCCTGCCATGTCACTCTAAGCGTTTACACGTAAAACGTCATCTCTCGTGAAAAGTACATTTTCTGGACGGCTAGCTGTCACCTCTTGCTTTGTCTACAGAGAGTATTTGTTCTATTGGGTTACGAAACAAAGTTATGACCGCATCGGGTAATTGAGGTCATTGCCCGAAAAGTGGGAAAGAGGTACGTCCTCTAAATGAATAGTGAATAAAAAAAACGTTTGTTTGTATACAGCTTAGCTGAAATAGGGCAAGGGGCAGTGCAGGGTTCATTCTCTGCTTCTATACTTCTTCCTCTCTCTCTTCTTCCCTCCCCTCCCTCCCTTGCTCCATCTCTGTTGCTCAACGGGCCCTCTCTCAGGGCGCCGGAGTGAGTAATGCGGTCACATGACCTTTGGCGGCGCGTCTGTCATCTGGTTCAGTGGGCCGTGCACTAACGAGGGCATCCCATCACTTGTTGTCTATAAATACCGCCACCACCCTCTCTCCCCTTCATCCTCTCTTCTGCTGCTCTTTCTCCCTTAACCCCCCCTTGCCCCCCCTTTTCGGTCCCTCTCACTCTTCAAAGGGTCGAGCTTGTGCGTCTGTGTGTGTGTCTGTTTGTGTGTGCATTTATGTTATGTGGAAGCGCATGCAGACGTGTGTGTGTGTGTGTGTGTGTGTGTGTGTGTGTGTGTGTGTGTGTGTGTGTGTGTGTGTGTGTGTGTGTGTGTGTTGTGTGTGGTGTGTGTGTGTGTGTGTGTGTGTGTGTGTGTGGTGTGTGTGTGTGTGTGTGTGTGTGTGTGTGTGGTGTGTGTGTGTGTGTGTGTGTGTGTGTGTGTTGTGTGTGTGTGTGTGTGTGGGGGCCAGTCAGCACGGTCAATAGGAGTCTGTCAAGCTAAAGCCGGGGCCCGCTTAGCCCTGTATCCACATCCCAGCATTTGAAGATCCCCGCGCTGCTTCTCACCACGTTGTTGCTCAGTGGGTGGCGGCAAGATAAAAGCAGCGACGGAGCTTGAATAAACTGTGGTGTTGTATTGTCCAAAGTCTTATTGTTGTCACTTTTGTTAACTTTACTGTCAATTTAAATGTGGCCTTGGCTGAAAACTCTCACTGCCTTCTTTATACAATGTTGCAAAATGTATATATTCACGTGTTTTTGCTTTCATTTAATTTGATGACTGCTTTTTTCTTTACGTGTAAAACACACAAAGCTTCCAAATTCGCTTAACCTTTGTGTCGTCTTACTGTCAATTGTGCAACTCTTGTCCTCCCGGTTTGATTGTGAGCTCATTCTATAAATCATAACCCAAATCTGTGTGACACTTTTTAACCAACTAGATTTTGAGTTGAAAGTTTCACTTTTTTTGTTTTTATTTCTGTCAAATCGACTAAATAACCCCTTATTCCGATACAAAAAGAAACAAGTCAAATTTGACCCGAGGAAAACAGGAGAGTTAATAGGGGCTTAATTGAGTGTCTAAATGAATAAACGGGAAGTTGTTTTTGATTTCCAGAGCATACCTCGGAAAAGAATGACAACCTGCTTTGGTTTCAGCCAATTAGAGTGAAATAGTGAGCTCTTGAGAAGTGAAGCCGGGCAGAATGGAGTCTGTTGGCGCAGGCGGTGAGTGTTGGCTGGAGCTCGCTGGCAGCCTGACAGACTTGTCGTACGATGCGAGCACGGGGTGTGTGTTTGTGTGTATGTGTTTGAGTGTTTGTGTGCCTGTACTGGAGCTTGGTATTGTGAGACTGGTGTCAGTATCACTCTCTGTTAATCTCTGGATATTTGCAGGATGTTGCCACTTTGATTTGCCATCATCACAGACATATCTGTGGATTTGGGCTAACAAGAGGATTGTTGTTTTAGCGTTCATGTAGTTTGCTGATGGAATTACTGTGTCCAGCAGCCAGTGAGTGAGCCTTTCATTGCTGGCTGTGTAGAAGGAGGAGGAAGTATTTGCCTGATTATACTGTAGGGGGGTGGTAAAAATACATTTTGAAAAGGGTTGCATTAGAAATGGGCAGAAAGTGTAAATATATGATAAAACGACAGGAACTCCAAAAGAGAATATCTGCTTGCTCACGAAAAAAAACAAGAATGATTAGAGTAGAATTTAAAATGCTTAATTGCAAATCCCATATTAATTTATTTTACTGCCCCCAGGTGGCCAATAAATTAATGAAGCTGTAAGGCAAAACCATGAGCTAAAAAAGGTCCAAAATATCTGTAGAGAAACGCAGTCTTTGACAGAAGGGAAACATTTCACATTAAACGTTTTTCATTCAACTGTACAAAAGATTATTGATCAGTTGTTGAGGATTACAAGGGGTATGTATCTCTCAGCCGTTGTACTGAGTAAAAGTGTGTGAATGGAACATCTGAGTAGCAAAACTACTAATAACAACCCTGACACCTTTTGGGAAAACATGTGTGGGTGTAGGATGCGTTCACATAGAGTGGAAAAAAGCAGGTTAGGAAACAAAGTAAGCCGATATAGAGAGAGGAGAGGTTGGTTGGGGTCATGGTTGCATCATGTTGTCTCTCTGGCTCACCTTCCCTTCCCCCTTGTCAGTTGTCTCCCCCTGTCTTCACACCTTGCTAACATAAAGGAAAGAGGAAATATGGTACTAACATGGGAAAACATGCACGCCTTGGCTGGAAAATGAACAAGTGTAAATCTTAAGTCTATAATAACAGCTGTCACTTGACTTATTTCAAGTCCCCCGCCCCCCCAGAGTTCTCCGCAGAGAATCCCTTCCTACTGTTTAGCTTAAAGGCTCTCCAACGCCTCACGCCTCCAGGTCGAGTTATTATTGTAGACATGAAAAAAGTGCGTTAAGACTTATTGAAAAGTCCACCACGGTGGTCCATGTTGCGCAACAGGTGACTCCAGATTGATCAGATTTTGGGATGGCAGTCAGTTTTAGGTTTGCTATTGGAGAACACTCATCAGAGACCAACAGGTTGAAGCCAAAGTGAACTCCGAACTCAGAGCCATGAGAAAGACACCGCAACATGAAAGGTGAAGCCTTTTGGAAACGGCCGTGTTAAAATGAAAGAGCGGAGGCCTTTTTAAATCAGTCCTCTGCCTTCTCATTCCTGCAGTGATGTATGGCTTGAGTTCAGAAATGAGGTGCTCTGTGCAACAGCTTCCTGGCAATTACAGGGCTCTCACTTCCAAACCAGCACGCTGAGGAGCTCAGAGCAGATGCTGCTGTCCTTACATACTATTCCTTCTGCTGGAGTTAGCATGCTGCTGACTTCTCCCTGTTGATGTGTGGATGAGTCCGTTCAACTTTACTTAGTTAGTGTGTGTGTGTGATGTGAAGGAGACAAAGGTGTTGTGTGTGTTTCCCTGTTTGCATTCTATGTGTATCTATATACAGTATGTGCATGTAAGCACATATGCACATGTCCTGGTTGGAGTTGGTGAGTCAGCGTGTGTCTCTGTGAAATTCCTAATTTGAAACACATGCTAGTCACAGCTGGACAGGTTTCTCTGAAGACCTTCAAATGTCTCACCACATTCCCAATTGAGTGCACATTTTGACAATCTTTCTCGCAGAGGTTGCCCCGGTGTCTTTAATGCTTGTTTGAGCTTTGCCTTTCACCTCAGCGTTTTTCAAGGGTGTGCACTTTGGAAAGAGAGGCTAATTGGAATTGAGCGTGGCCCCCAGATGCCTCCAGACTCTGAGCAATCACTCTCACACTTAACACACATTCACACACCTACCCAAACACACACACACAGTCATGTGCATGCTCACAGTCTTGAACACACACACACACACATACATCATCTCACACAGATGTTTCTTCCTTCCACTCCCCCCCCCTTTCCTTCTTTCTTCTTTTCACCCACATCACCTTTTCAAGCCAAACAAAACGGTTGTAAACACAGGGTGCCAGTGGGGGGAGTGGAATGCCTCAGAGGCTTACACAGGCTTTGGTCCTCTGTGACAGACAGTCCTCCCTGTGTTTGACAGGTCCTCGGGTCCTGCCGCCTGGCTGCACTGTGGTGGTCCCTGCATGTCCCTTGCAATTTCCCATAAGGGGATAAGGGGGATGGGTGGCTGTGGAGAGTGGCTGTGGCTGTGTGGCTGTGGATGCCCAGGTCCTGTTTGACAGAGAGGTGGGGGGGGGGGGGGGGGGGGGATGTTAGAGCTATAAAGGGAGGAAACTCTTTGTTGTGTCAAAGAAAAATCTTAAAATGTGTTTATCTGGTTTCTCCACCATGAACTTAGATAATTTGCTCTTTTGTCTTAAGGGGGTTGCTAACTAATAAGGACCAGCACCTGTTTGCCCTTTTCGTGGTGTGGAAGCCATTTCCTCTCATCCAGATGTTTTATCACATCTCTTCTAGTGGTTTGTATTTGAATGGTTGTCTTAATCTCTTGTTTGTGCTCCAACAAACGTATCAGTTTGCATTTAGGAGCCGGACAGGAAGAAAACTCAAACCAGGTCTGCATTATGGAAATGTTTGTGGCTTGTTTATTCCATATCCTGCAGCTGTTAACACCTGTCTGTCATTGTGAAATACTTTACACTCCATCATTAGACCCATAAGTGTGTAAAACACACTTATGTGTGTAAAACAGTGTGTAAAACACACTTATGCAAGGGAATAAGAGGAAACGGTGCCAAATTCTCAGTATGTTTACGTGTGTTTATGTGCATGACGTTGCACTTTTGCAGGTGTTCCCCTAAAGTAATGGCTGCAAGTTGTGAATTTGTGGTAAACCTTTAACTTGTCCGATCACCTATTGTCCAGGAGATGACTTTGATTGATATCCTCCCTGTTGTTTTAGCGTAATTATGAAAATGCACTGAAGCGGATCTCACATGGTTCTGTTCTCACGTCTTTTTTTATCTTGAGTAAGGGATTGGATGTCTTGTAGTGGAATGATTGTGGGGCAGGTGGAACTTATAGTAGTTGCATTTGTTCCATTTGTAAATACCTTGCAATGGAAGCAGCAACTTGTGCAGCAACCACTCTCAAACTCTGAGAGGAAACAGTGGAGACGGACACACTGAGGTGTCAACAAACAGCATCCTCCTTTCCAGGTTATAGGTTCAAATCTGTGTCTCTGAAGACAGCTGAGCAGCAGAAGTGAATTTCTGAAGCCAAGCCAGTAATGAACTTGGCTCCTCTTGTTATCACAACTCTAGAGTTTCCTTATCGCGGTGCCACTGCTCCCCATGCCTGTGTGCCCGGACGGCGGGCTGCGTACCCAGACAGACGCCGTCCTGTCCTGCATTCTTTCAGTGAACAGGACCCTTCGATATCTAAGTCACTGAGAAGGGATTTGGTTTCACACAAAGGGAAATGGGCCTGCTGTGTTTTGCTTATGAAAGCAATTTCTAGCACGTCTTGGCACCGGTTGGTTAGTGGGTACGCACTGTTTGATACCAGGCGGCTTATTTTTTATGTCAAAGTGGATCTACTATTAAAGATATTAGGTCATTTTATATTTACAAACCAAGTGATTTGGAAAAAGGTTATCCACATTTAATTCTCACCAAAGCAAAGGGTTTAGATTGTTAAACATTACGTATAAACTCAATTTGTGTTGGATGTCTAAAATCATTTCAAAGAGTAGAATTGTTTTTATGTCTTTATTGAACCATGCCAATGCTTAAAATACTTTAATCTCAATAAGAGAAGACACCATATATGCTAGATTTGAGCTAATAGACACATTCACAGAGAGCTAATTTGAAAAGCAGTGTGATTTTGTGCAAAGAAAGGGGCTATGACACAGTTCTGTTTTACACATTTGACCCCCTGTGAGTCTCAACCTGCCTTTGTTTGCATTACATTGAAACTCACTATAGACTTCCATCTTGTGTTGATAGAGTACATTTTTCATATCTTGTTTGATAAGAACATATCGTTTTGGAACCAGTCCAACAATTGTGATATGAACAGAGCAGGAACTTTTGGCTTAGCTCCCCATAAAAAGAAGACCCCACATCCCAAAAATAGATTATACATTTGTTTGACATCCAGAAAGTATTGTGGCACATACTGTACATTTCAGTTTCTGGTTTCTCTCATTGACACCCTCTGTCTCTTACTGTCTTCCACTCTATTTTTGTCTCTATCCGTGCCACTCCCTCCCTCTCCCATTTCTCTTTGGACAGCTGGAGGAGTTGGACGCGTGCCTTGAGTGTAAACAAAAGCTGAATTAGGATTTCTTTCAAAAATATAGCTTGAGATCTAAACGGAGGATTAAGAAGGCAAAGAGGAACACCACTCCCAGCTCTGCATTAATTATGTGGTGTGTGTTTGTCTTCAAGTCTGAGTTACATGTTTCTTTTGTGTGTCTTTTCTCGTGCAGTACTGCAGACACGGGATGTGTGTGAACAAGGAGTTGGACCTGCAGCCAGTCCATGGGGAGTGGGGTCTTTGGGGGCCCTACAGTGTTTGCTCCAGGTCCTGTGGTGGAGGAACCCGGAGCAACACCAGAGACTGCAACAAGCCTGAGTAAGATCCAATCAGATCCATTACAGACATGTAAATATGTGTCAGACTCCTGTAAGAGAAGGAAAACGCCTGAATAAGAAGCTGTAAACAAGCTTAAGTCAAACTTACTGCCAGATTCAGTTAGCCTGAACCTGATTTAAAGCAACACTCAGTTTGCTTTCTTAGTGTGAATTTAAATGTAAACGGTTGGTTTGAAGTCATAAAGCACCAGTCAAACAAGAGCACACATGATTTTTAAATTGAAATCAAGTACTGTTTATTTTCTTACTCTAGGCCCAGAAATGGCGGGAAGTTCTGTGTGGGTCGCAGGATGAAGTTCCGCTCTTGCAACACTGAGCCATGTCCGAGAGGTCAGAAAGATTTCCGCGAAGAGCAGTGCTCTCTTTTTGACGGCAAGCACTTCAACATCAACGGTCTACCTCCAACCGTCCGCTGGATCCCCAAGTACAGTGGCAGTGAGTATACCAATGTATTCCTAAAGTGTGCAATCTGAATGTTCTTGGAGTAACTCAATCATAGATAGATACTATTTACATCCAACTATACAATGTAATTTGAAGGTAATGAGTCAGATTGATGCATTTAACTAACAAGCTGCACACCAAACTGTTTGTTGGAGAGCCCAATTGTAGTTTCTATAGCTACACCATCATATCATTTCAATACAAGAGGGGAAATTATAAAATAGGTGCATATGTACACATCTGCGTGTGTTTTTTCTTTTTATATTTTGCTTACGCAGAGCTGCGTATGGTAAACCTTGAGTTGACACTTAACAACAGCAACATTAAAGCAACACACAGCCCTTCCATATGAAGCTCCTGGCAGCTCTCCCTGATGCAGCCGTATCTCATTCCTTCCAGAGATGGCCTGCCCAGCTACATGAGATTATCATCTGGCGAAGACCACCATGTCTAAGTTACTGCGAGTGATTCATTCATTTAATTGATTCTATACAAGCAAACAGGCCAGGCCCCGGAGCCAGTGCACTGTCAGATACAAAGTGATTGCTCCAAACAATAGATCACATTTTGGCAATTCTTGCAACAGCCCCCTGACCATTGCAACTAATAGTGAGAAGATCAAAAATATCTTTTGTTTTGTTTCATCGGCACATGCAAGTCATCGCTAGGCGTTTCATCTTTCAGGTTTTTATTAATCTCATTAACTTAATGAGCTATAGACCAACATTTTCCATAGTTTGTTTTCTTACTCCATACAGTACTAATGAAGGATCGCTGTAAGCTCTTCTGCCGGGTTGCTGGGACTACAGCGTATTATCAGCTGAAGGACCGCGTCACCGACGGCACGCCGTGTGGGCCAGACACTTACGACATCTGTGTTCAAGGCCTCTGCAGGGTATGGTGACCTCATGCACACACACACCAACACAAGCTTCCACATAAACGTCAGCTTACCTTACCAAATGTTCGTACCAACTTGATATGTAGTAGGGTCGGTTTGACATTTTTGGCTGTTATTGAGGAAGACAAACCTAACACTCTCAGCTCATTCATGCTTTTAGAGGATTTGTTTTGTAATATTGCAAATTATAAAAAATGTAGTGCAGTATCACAATCACAAACACCTGCTTTTGCCAAATCCATGGTGTCCATATGAAACACTGCTCACACATGTGTAATTCAAAACATTCAAACGAATCAGTATGTTACATTACATCACTGTACATCCTACGTGTTTACCTTCTCTTCATCCGTGCCACTTCAGCAAGCCGGCTGCGACCACGTTCTCAACTCGAAAGCCAGGAATGATAAGTGCGGAGTGTGTGGCGGAGACAACTCCTCGTGTAAAACCTTGGCAGGGACCTTCAACGATGCTCAGTATGGTGAGTCCAGCTGCTCCAATTACATGTACAGTACACTAATAGCTATATGACTACAAAAAAAGGTGTTGCTATTGAACATACTGGGTGTCAGCAGCTTCTGCAGATGAATTATGATATGTCTGATATGCAGTAAACATAGAGGGGCTAAGAAAGACTTCAGTCCCATGGGGCTGCACTGCTGACACGCTAGATGCAGGTATTTGGGGCTGATGTCATGCCTGGTTATGGTTAAGCTTGATTTTCAGAAACAATAAGTGTTTCAGCCAAGCTTAGAAAAATGCAACTTCCCTGTTTCTTTCGAAACTGATTAAAACAGTAATCATACTCTTGTCTGATTTTCGATAGCAAACACAAACCTTACTTCACTCCTTTGAACTGTCCTTCTTAATACGGCGCTGCATTGTAAGCCAACTTCTGATTGCTTCCAATCCGTTTTATGTCTGGGCATCAGAGCAGCAGAAGCATTAGCATAAAAGCTCTGGATGTGGCCCGCATCATGTTTACTCCGCATTAGTTTGGAACGTTAACGTCTCCATCCATCTGCTTTCTTTCTGTTGGCTGCTGGGGGTACAGGGTTTGAGGACTGTATTGAACCAAACCGGTCTCTGAGCTTGGCCCTGGACATTTGGCAAGATATTATTAAAGAGAACAGGAGTGGGAGTGCAGCCCAGGCAGGATATCCCTCTGCTCCTGTGTCCAGGCCTGTCTTTCTGTCTTTTGTCCTCCTGACAAGACAAATTAAGATTCCAAGTAAAATCTGAATGTGTTTTTGTCCTTTGATGAAATTCCAAGTAATTATAGTCACATCTTTATAAGCAAATTGCAAGTCAATATGTTGAATGAGGTTGTTTTGTATCAGCTAATGGTGTTTTTAAGGTCATTTGTATGTGTTTTATTCCTTATAATTACATTCTGCAGCTGTGCAAGGACCGTCTGTTGAAGTCCTGATTATTATTTTTATTTTTGGTGGGTCTCTTTCTATGTAGGTGAAAACTTGAAGCTGTGGGTCTACGAGGGGAATCAATACAGGCATACCATTTGTTTTTTATTTCTTTACTTAAAGCAATGAGAGCTTTATGGAAAATCAAACTAGGAGGTTAAATAGTTCCTGTGTTACAATGGAATCATAATCCAATCACAGTAATAAAAATAAGCAGATGTTTGTCTTCAACTCAGTCAGTATCGTCTCACAACATTAGGGTGAGCCTGTGACGCCTTTTTTCATCTGCAGGCTATTAATACATCATCTTCTTTCTGCTACTGGCAGGGGGAAGCATGTTTGAGGTAAACCTCAGCGTTCCCAAACCTCAGCATGGTTTTGTTGTTTCCCCGTGGTGTGTATACTGTTCATCCCTTGGTCACTCTGCGGTGGCGGAGGATTGTGTGTGTGGTCAGTTGCTAAGCGAGGGGATCCCTGAGGTCTCTGGTGGCTTTTGGATAGCATTTTTCAACAGAGGGGGGCCGTGTTGGCGGTTTCAGAGTTCATACATCTCTGTCTTTTTCGTGCTTATTCTGTCCCCAGTGTTTAAGGAGGAGATTCAACATCTCACACAACAGTAGATTATATATACATGAGGTTTTTGTGTTGTGGTCAAATGGTTTCTTTGTGAAGTAATGCATAGTAGTAGAAGTAGAAGCTTCCTGTGCAGTGTGGTCTCACAAGTTTTCCAGTCCTGGTTGACATGGATTGTGATGACGATAGTGTGTCTGCATGTGAGTGTATGTGTGTGTAAAGATTAACATGACTGATGAGAGGAAGATATGTAAACCAAGTGCTGCCCCCGAGTGGCTCAAGGTGTCAGGCTAACCATCAGATCAAACCAACCCACACCTTTACTGCCATTACATTCAGACACATGTTGGTTCAAATTCTCAAGCTAAACCCTCATTATTAATGAAATTAGTGAATATTAACATTAACCCATTATTACCACAGTGTTAATGTATTTGAACCTCCAATGATGTTACTGGACTAATCAAGTTGTAAAAAAAAGGAGAAAGTTGTTGTGGAGCCAAACAGCTGTTCACCGCAACGTTTACACCACGGATAAAGCCTTCTACCCCTGCCAACCTTAATATGTTGCTATAAAATAATATGTTTGTTCTCAAGTGATTTAATAGCAGGTAAACAAGGAACCTTGTTGAGTTGTGTCTCATCTGTAACAACTACTCTCACAGGTAGAACTGGTATCCTTAGTAAATTATTTGATATTTTTACTGATATAACTATCAATACCTAAAACTCCAAAATGTTACTTATTTTGTTTTCAACATATAACCTGCATTTACTTTGAACATACATACAGTACTTACCTTTTGTATATGTAATAAAGGAAGCTAAACTTATATTAAGAAAACAATCTATAAACTGTATAGAAACTTTGCCTGGAAATCTACTTAAATAAACTAAAATAGGCAAATTGACAATTTAAATCAACAACTGGATGATCAGAGAGTAATTAGGGTAGAAATCAAAGCAAGCACTCAATGTCAGCTAATAGTTTCCTATACTTGCTGCTATGGATACGTTTTGATCGGTAAAACAATATTTAGCTTGCATACTTCTCATGGGAAGCTACAGATTCTTCTCCCCTCTAATTACCTCCATTCTCTTTATATTTTGTTTATTTAATTCTGTGCCCCCTGTTCTGTTTCCATCCTCACGTTTTCTTTTGTGGCCTCATGGCTTTCACATGCTCTCCCCCTCTCATCTCACTCGTTTTGTATGTTAGTTTATCATGGGACAACAGGCCTGGTGTAGTAATTACAGGCCGAAGGTAGGTCCAGGGAATAATTACATATCATTTCACGGTCAGTCCCTCTGAGACTTAAACAAGGCCTCCTGCAGGTTATTTGAGAGGAGTAGACCTTTTTTTTGGTATTTTTCCAAGTGTGACATTTAAATCCCCAGTGGTTGGATCCGGACTTCCCTGACTGTGAAGCATAGTGAAGCTATTATAAGTATCAAGGTGGGACCACTCACTGTTGTTATTGTGGCCACTTTGGTCCCTTTTGAGACTAACTTTCCGTGTCTCTCTCTGTCTGTCTTTCGTTTGACTATCCTTCTTCAGGTTACAACACAGTGGTGCGGATCCCAGCCGGAGCCACCAACATTGATATCAAACAGGTCAGCTACTCTGGAAAGCCAGAGGATGACAACTACCTCGGTGAGTGTGATGTGTGTCAGCGCAATGATGTGGTTTTAAAGCAACACTGTATCCCATTGCAGGGTTTTCATGGGAGAATCAATCCAAAATAGAAGCAGTCCAGACAAATCAGATGTATACATTACACCCCTTTCAGTTCTCATCTCATAGGTCAATGCCATTATCTCCTAACATGACCATAAACCACCCAGACTTTGGTGACCCTGAGCTGTAGTGGCAGGCATTTAGTGAAGTAGGGCAAGGGGACATGGGGCAAACTGTTGTCAAACTGTTTTCAAACTCTTTTCATAAAGGAAAGGAAACTGTCATTTGTACTGAGTATATATGGAGGACACGCGGTGGGGCGTTGTTCCATCTGGTCATGGCAAAGAGGGTTGGTTGGGAAAGCAAATGGAGTGTCAGCCCCGGAGAAAGATAAATGAGGCAGCAATAGGTGCTAATTAGTGGCATGTGTAGCCCAGGCCGCATGAAAGTGGATATAGGGGTATAGGGTTAGATGGACCCACCAGGATCGCTGTGTGTGTGTGTGTGTGTGTGTATGTGTGTGTGTGTGTGTGTGTGTGTGTGTGTGTGTGTGTGTGTGTGTGTGTGTGTGTGTGTGTGTGTGTGTGTGTGTGTGTGTGTGTGTGTGTGTGTGTGTGTGTGTGTGTGTGTGTGCTTGTACGTGTGAGAGAGAGCCAGACAGAGGTAAAAAAAAAACGGAGAAAAAGAGTTTTGCCTATGTTGTAAGGGCGGGCGCCCATTTTCAGATGGTTCAAGTCAGGTTCAAGATGTTTTAAGTCAAATTGCTAGGAAACACATCAGGCAGGGTCTCGCTGCCATGCTGCTGTGAAAAGCTTGACTCCCGCTGTTCCTGAGTGCCACAACCACACACTGAGCCTCTGCTGTCAGCAATAAACGTGGTTTGTATTTGCAACACCCTGTCAATTTGACAACTACAGCTGGTACATACAGTATGTAGACTTTTTTGGAGAAATCACCTCCCTGATGACCAGCAAAAAGTACACTTTGAAGTCATGGCTCTTTGAAGCTCTCTCTTGTTGGATTTTGACACTTTGGACACCTTAAGAAAAAAGTTCACATGTTATATCTGCCTTTACTTGGTTTCATTTATTTATTTTTAATCTCTATATCGTCCTATGTTGTGTCTCATTTGTCTTTTATGGGGAAGCACTTTTTGAAGTATGTTCTTAAAGGTGCTGTGATTCAATTTGACTACTTACAATGCAATGGTGCAAAAAGTCTCCGCACACTTTGGGCCCATTACAAGAATTTGATAACTAAGCCAAGTATTAGCTTACTAGAATGTTATCTTGGAAATGAAACAACATGTAAAAAGTTTTGAGTATTATAAAAGTTCTCAAAGCTCATGTTGGCTTAACACCTTAAACTAGAATAAACTTATCTTGTAATGTGCTGCAATGTTAATTCAACTTATTTTTGGCCACTTCCCAAGCGTTAAGGGGTTACATTTTCCTTGAAAGTAAGCCTCCAAGAAGCAGCTCCTTGGTGGAGCTGTGTGCCTGCACGTTTTCTAATGCATTGTTTATTGTTTCCATTTCTGCAAAACGTCAATGATGACAACCAGAGTCTGTAGATCATTGTTTGAACCCCACAGACCCACATCATCTTTGGGTTAAGGATATCTTAGTAGTATTAACTGCCATCCAATAATCTGTAGACTTACATGTAAACAAAGTAGCGCTGAGGGACTTAATCACATACATTGTTTCGGCATGGCTGTCAGATTGTAATTATAGCATGTCTTCTGGAACCATAGTGTTCAAGGCAGGGAGAGGTGGTCGGTGTACACTCTGGGTTTATGTGCTAGTTTGCTCAGGGAGTGTTTATCCATGGGTTCCTGTGTGTTATTTGTGTGTGTGTTTATGTACTTTTTTGTATTTGCAGTCAGTGGAGATCCTTTGTTTCCATTCCAATGTCATTAAGAAGAGTCATGCAGTCTAACTCCAAATAACTGCAATTTGGTGTCACCAGTGTTTCAACATACCTCCCCTACAACCATGGCTTTGCAAAACAATAGGTTGGCAACTGACATAACAAACAGAGAATGTTTACTTAACATATAGCCTGGAAGGATAAATGCCACATCTTATAAACAAGACCTTAAAGGTGGGGTAGGTAAGTTTGAGAAACCGGCTCGAGATACACTTTTTGTTATATTCCATGGAATGCTCTTAACATCCCGATAGCAATGAATATCTTAAATGCTTTGACAAAAAATCCATAAAAAAATGTCATCTGTGGAAGCCGTAGTACTGTAAAAAGCACGACCAATCATCTGAGCCGGCCCGGCTAAAATAACTGGATGGCCTACCTGCCTGTCAGCCTTCCATCTGTGCACAAATTTATCTCGTGCCCTCATTGGTTATGTGCGCGTTCGTGTGTGTTGGAGGAGGGGCTCTGTAAGGAAGTGGCAGATTATCTCCGGCTGTGTATTTTCAAATTCTACCGCACTCGAGCTGGTTTCTCCAAAATTACCTACCTGCAAGGGCCATACTCATTATAGGAAACCAAACATTCCTAAATTTATGCAGATTTGTTTCACATATGGAGTTTTGTGTTTTTTCATGGTTTGTGTCCATTTCTTTTTCCAGCGTTATCTGACGGCCAGTCCAACTCACTCCTGAATGGGAACTTTGTGGTGGCCATGTTTAAAAGGGAAATCAACTTCAAGGGAAGCGTCATCGACTACAGCGGCTCGGACACAAAAGTGGAGCGCATCAACTGCACTGACCGCATCGATGAGGAGCTCGTTCTGCAGGTACTAGGAGAAGGCTTGCCTTGTTTTTAACTCTGTTATGATGGACATTCCCACTCTAGTTACACTGTATATTCCCCAGTTGTTCCCTCTTACTACAGTTTGCTGTCTTCCCTCCTACCAGAGATAGATCTCTGTCTAAAAGGGTGATATCTCTGTGTGGACTTAGACAAAATAAGTAAAGTACTGTTAAGTCTTTTGACCTTTCCCACCATTTTTTCCCACAGGTCTTGTGTGTGGGAAACCTCTACAACCCAGATGTCCGTTACTCCTTCAACATACCCATCGAGGAACACAAGGAGCAGTTTGTGTGGGACCCCTCGGGCTCCTGGCTCGAGTGCAACCGCATCTGTCAGGGTAAACTCGGCTTCCAAGTCTCCACACATGAAGAATATGATAATTTCTCTTTGACTTCAGTGGATCCTAAAAAGCTTTACTAATTGAAAACAATATCTGGAAGCTGTCGTGCGGTTATGAAACACATCAGAACATTATTATGTGCTTTTAGGCCCATGGTTATTATCACAAAATGTTCTTGAGAGTTTACTGTTAAAAAACCTTGTGTTCAAACTGACACTACAATTTCACAGCTAAGCTTGATATTAACTCTACAAATTAGAAATCTCGAACAAGTATAACATTTATATGAACCATTATGCGTCATTCGGCAAAATTGTTAATTCCATGGAGATGGATCCAAGTCTCAGGGAACATTTAGACTAGCATTTCTCTTCTATTACCTACACTCAACTCTGGAAAACGTAACTTACTGATACTTTCCATCAAATCAAATCAAGTTTTATTTATATAGCACATTTATAAACGATTTTTGGTCGAGCCAAAGTGCTGTACATATAATAAAAATAGCCTACAGTAGAGACACTTTACAGCAAATACAACAGCACAGATTGTTCAGAATATCAGTATGAGAAAAACGACACCCTCTGTCCTTAGACCCTCACATCGTACAAGGAAAAACTTCCGGAGAAAAACCCACAGTTTAAAAGGGAAAAATGGGAGAAACCTCAGGGAGAGCAACAGAGGAGGGATCCCTCTCCCAGGACGGACAGACGTGCAATAGATGCCGTGTGTAAATCGGAGAGATAATACATTTTACAGCATATAGACCGAATGTTAGGAAATGCATGTGTCTGTAATAAGACGATGAATCCACGAGGATGTCAGCTACAATCCTGTGGAAGCCATCAGGGAAGCAGCATGACGAGACCCAAGGCAGGACCGCAGAGACAGGTTCAGCCACGACCCGAAGTCCACGACTTAATCCAGAACTCAGGATAGAGGATCCAAGACACAGGACTACAGCAAGAGGATCAGCCTCGACTCCGGATCCCGGCGTAGATATAGATACAAAACAAGAAAAAAGATTTGGCTGGGTTAATCGGAACAAGAGAATACACAGACACAGACAGAGAGGGAAAAGGTCATTGGATAAAATGTATTCTTGATAACCCTCTAGAAAGGTCTCATGAACTTCCCCACTCAACCTATCACGACCCGAGCAGTTCTATTAGATATAGGATAAGAAACAACAACCTATCTCTTCGTCAGATGCACTCCCCCGCTTATCTAAGCGACTCCCATCCATAAATTCCCCTCTTGGCAACCCCAATGTGACCCCGGCCAATCCCATTGCTCGACACCTTCCCCTTCGCCTGGCCCTTAACCTGATTAAGCCAGTCGGGCCCCCAGCGAGTCAGAGGGCTGATAATGGTTCAGTAAAGAGGTGTATTTGTGGTGTTATTAGACCAACATGGACCCCTAAGGCTATATGATGAAGGACTGAATGCTAGAAAGCTGGTCAGGCTTGGTGAAGAAATGTGATATTTTGGCTAGCATACTGTCTGCCAGATGTTATCTAATGCAAACCCTGCTTTTCTCTATGTGTGTGTGCAGGCCAGCGAAGACGTAAAGCGGTATGCGTGCGTAAGAGTGATCACCTCGAGGTTTCAGACCAACGCTGTGAAGATTTACCTCGACCTGTTGCTGTTGCTGAGCCCTGCAACACTGACTGTGAAGTCAGGTATGGATTAATGCACAAAGACACACACAAAACAAATGACTACTGTACATAACACAGAGCTAAACCTTTATCTACACCTCCTCTCACACAGGTGGCATGTCGCTGGAAAGAGCGAATGTTCTGCAAAATGTGGCCCAGGTTACCGCAGCCTGGACGTTCAGTGTATGAAATACGTCCTGATGAAGAGACAGAGTGAGAGGATGGAGGCCAGCGCCTGTGGAGACACCGCCAAACCTCAGACCAGAGAGCCCTGCCATGGGGACTGTCTGCTGAAGAGCTGGCAGTACAGCGCCTGGTCACAGGTATGGCACAATTGTATTTTATATGCTGGCCTGGACTCACTGAATATCATTTGAAAGGTAACCAAAGTGGAAACGTAGTCCAACTGGGGGTAAACGTTGCATTTATTTATGTATTTCTTATGTATGATAATGTATCATATGTGCCTTTATGTTTGTTTTAATGCATATGAAAATGGAGGAATCCCATTCATCTTGGTTTAATCATCAGTAGCGTTTAGCTATTATAGAGCCACATTCTGTAAATTGTTCCGCTCTGGGTCTTGAACCGGCAAACCCTATGTTCGCAAGCCAAGACCCTACGGATTGAGCTACTGCTGCCCAAAATGATATGTGATGCATATTTATGTGTTGAACTTTAACACATCATTTTTCAATCAGGACAGAACCAAATTCAAACGTTTTTGAAGACGATTTCTTATTTTCATCTCAGTGTTAACAACATTTCATGAACAGGTATGCACACATGATTAAGTGGGCCTTACATGTTTTTTCTTGCCAACAGTGCTCTAAGACATGTGGTCGTGGGAGCCGCAGCAGAGAGTCTTACTGCATGAACAACCTGGGCAGGAGGCTGGCAGACCGGGACTGTAATGAATACCAGAGGGTGGTCACTGAAACCTGCAGCGACCAGCCGTGTCCGAAGTGGACTGTTAGCGAGTGGAGTGAGGTAGGAACCGCTCGCCCACATGCAGCCACACAACCTCACTTACAAAAGCAGCAACAAAGTTTGACCTCTTCCTGATGTATCCCTAGAAGGGGACTGAAAAGCATAAATCTACAAACTTTGAAACATCTACAGTAAGAAAACTAGCCTTCAGCAGAGCTCAGCACTAATTGAGTCCAACAGCAAAGTCAGGGGTGCATAATATGATACAGGTGGTGGACCTGATCGCTATAAAACATTACGCAGTTACTAGTTATTCTATGCAGGCAAACACAACAGCCCTGCAGTACATCCTACCTTAATGAAGCTCATATTGGAGATGTATTGATGCTTTCAGACCATGCCATACTTAACTACTAATGTAACCTTCTGATCATTTTGATTTATAGTTGTTGCTTATTAGGGTGTTTCTGGTATCCCCACTGGTATAAACAACTAGGATAGAAATGGGGGTAGGCTATCAACAATTTTACTCATGATTTTTTTACGTCTACATGGATTAACTCATTCTAACTAATTACTTATCATATGTACCCATGTTCCTCCCCCAGTGCCTGGTGACTTGTGGGAAGGGGATGAGACACAGACAAGTGTCCTGCACCTCGGGGACTGGGGACGAGAAGATGAGCGAGCACTTCTGCGACCCCTCCAGCAAACCCCCTGCTGTGGGGAGCTGCGAGCTGCCGGAGTGTGCGTCCTGGCAGGTCGGCGTATGGGGAACGGTAAGTCTTGTAGACACACACACACACACACACACACACACACACACACGTGAGACACAGACACCGGGTGAGGTGATTTAATGCAGTGTTTGACTGAGGAAATGGGTTTCATGTGTGGCTCGCTGTCTAGGAGTTTGACTCATATCTGTTACTGTTTGTGTGAGTGTGTGTGTGTGTGTCTGTCGTCACGGAGAGAGAATGTGGTGTGTAGTATTGACGGTGTATATTTCAAGTTTTAGTGTGTGTGTGGGTAACCTGATATGCCGGCAACTTACGGAGGAGTGTGCTCTGACTCGAGCTGCCATTTCCTCCATGGTGCTTTCACTTCACCCTCATATCCTGTCAGAATAAACCTGATCCACAGTGCGCGTACACACACACACACACACACACACACACACACACACACACACACACACCTACCTTTCTATGAATTCAAATGTCTCGGATCCAAACTGTTTTTGTGTAGCTTTAGTCCTAGGTTGAGCTCAAATTGAATAAAACATCTATGAATGGGCGTGCGTCTTTGGCCATTCATGGTCTAGTTTATACATCTCGATCTAATGCCCTCCCACATGTGTTTGAATGAAGTCAGATAGTGGTATTTACAGAGCTGGAATATATCGGCTCCTTAATGCTTGTGTAATTATAATTTGCTCCTCAAATAAACCTATCCTGTGGCACTTCCTCTGCTCTCGTGTTGTACCTGAATGTGGTCGGATCGCCTCCTATGTAAGTAAGGAATTAGGTTAAGGGTCGGGTTGAAACTCGGGGTGTGTATGTGAACGTGTGTGTGTGTATGTGTGCATGCATGTCAGACTCTTACCCGGGCTCTACTGAGCTGAATCTAGACTGAGGCCCCTCTAAGATATCAACATTGACATACTTAGATAGAGTTTGAGATAACTTGCGGTTGACTGGGCTTCTCTTCTTGTACTAATATGTGTGTGTGTACATATGTGTGTGATTTTGTCTTTCAGTGTACGGTGACCTGTGGCCATGGCTACCAGATGAGAGCTGTTAGGTGTGTGTCCGGGACCTATGGTGACACGGTAGACGACAGAGAGTGCAACGCCGCGGCAAGGCCAAGAGACAGTCAGGTAACAAAAATAAGAAACGTTAGCAACTTCTCATATACTCTTCAAACAATTATGGTTGATTCCTTTTTTCTTTTCAAGAGACAGTGATTTGCTCTAAGGGTTAAGAAATACAAATCCAAACCAACGTCAGCATCTTTAGCTGCTTACAGGATTCCTCAGATTTTTTACAAAACATTATATTTGTTCAAAGTTATTTTCACCATGTGTTCAATAAGCAGGCTACTCTTTTATAGAATATGTCTCTGCTTTGGATCATTTTAAAGTAGTGGAATCAAGCTGTAAACACACCTTTTGCCCGTTCTCACTTTAGGAAACAACTTTCTTTTTAAACATCCAGTAGACACGAAGCAACATTATCCAACATATGCGCTTTAAATAAAAATGGTACTTTCCTTTGGTCTCCAGCAACTCCAAAGGGAATTAGCTGACTGCAAAGTACTCTCATGTTCACTCAGTTGTAGAGGGATGGGATGGAAAACCAAAACAATGAGATGCTAAAATACTTAGAGCCGAGCAGAGCTGTAGTGATACTTCTCAGTCAGTTCATATGATATATTGTATATTGATATTGGGTTTCCCTGTGAGGTTTAGGCTTGCCAAGCATCTGTAAATTGGTCTAAAGCTGGGAGATAAGCAGATCCAAGCACCTGCTAAGTATCCCTGGTCTTCACTCTTTGACATTGATCCTAACCTGGTTAACTTCATCAGCATCTTTGAAAGGTTCCATGTTTTGCTTTGGTTTGACCCAAAAGTCCAAATCCAGCTGGACACAGACCCTAAGGCTGCAGCAAACCTTACCTGAGTGATTTAAGTGCTCTTAGTCAGTGAGGGACACACTAAACGAGGCAGATAGTGTTGAGCTGATGACCTTCCAGTCTATTCTGTCTAGTAAGACTAGTAAGGGTCACCAGAGCATTGCATAAGATTGGTGTATCAGCTCTGTAAATTGAATTATACAATAAAGGTTTTTGTACAGCCGGAGAAATCCTGAACCTGAGTCTCTGAAATGTGTAAAGAAATATTTGTACTCCTGTAACTTCAACATAGTGATGTTTGACATACAAATATTACAAATTTGACTTAATTTGCATTTTTATTTGATTAGGATTGTGAGATGCCGGCGTGTCCGTGGGACTCTCCGGTGCAAAGCACGCCTCGCCCCGACAACTCCGCGCAGCTGCTGACTCAGTGGAGATACGGCTCCTGGACTGCGGTAAGGAAACAAATTGTGTTTATTGGGTCTATCGCAGAATATAGCCGTCTGTGGGTTTACCTTATACAGTCCAAAGAATATACACATGCATTTTTGGTTGAATGGTAAACAAATGCTTGCACTCAGCGTGTAGCTGAAATAATCTGCTGGGCTCTGGAATCTGACTAACTTCTGTCTTTTAACAAAGAATGAAAAATGAGAATACTGCTGAAAAACGTTGTATGTGTCTGTGTGACGTGTGTATGTATATGTTTCTGTGTTTAATTGAAGAAAACCACACTTCAGCAATGATGGGTCTCTTGCATGTGTGTTTGCAAATATTAAGTTGACATATTCAACTTTTATTGTATATCCCAACATTCCTTCAGATACTGTAGTACATACTGTACAGGATCATAATCCTCTTTGGCATTGTCTGTTTTACCCCCTGCTGCATGTACACACACACATATACGTGCAAACACACACAGGCTCCACTGTCTGGGCTGAGAGGCCCCTCTGTCTCTCTGATACTTCGCATTGTTACTTGTCGCAAATGAAAACCAGATTTCATCTAAACACGAGTCTACGGTTTCTAAGATTGAACCCCGTCTGTCAATCTGAAAGTCGCTGTGAGCTCACATGTCAAAGAGGCCAGCGCCAGTGTGGTCTTACACACACACATAATACACACGGCACATGCACACCTACACATGCATACATTCCCCCCCGGGCAGCAGAACTGCCATCCTCTTTAGAGAGTCACTGATATGAGAGGGATATTAACATGCCTGTTGAGCCATTTGATTGCATTAGGTATTCATCTCTTCTGAAATGTTTACTGCCATGTCCCTTTGAGATGGAAGCGATAAAGATATATTGTAAGCAAGTGAAAGTTCGTCAGGGAGTCATTTCAGGACACAAGCAACAGTTAAGAAATTCTCTGAAGCATTTATTTGTGACACTGGGTAAAGAATCCATACAATATAACTTTCATGAAAGAAAATGTAATGGATTTCTTACAACATAAATCCATGTCATGAAGTATTGTTGAATTGTAAGACCCTTTCCTCTACAAACAAGCAAACTATTACATGTAATCATCCTGAAACTCGAATGATACTTGAATTATACACAAATTAAAGTCTTCACCCTCCGATGGCACAAAAGGTCCAAAAGTATTTTTAGTGGACACAAACTTATGAATAAAATAATAAGGAATGCTGACATTTTCTTTTTGGATTTTGTTATTTCTTTATACAGTATTGTGTGATTTAAGCGGCCTTTTGGTAACATAATTATGGCTTATCAATGTCGCTTTACAGTATATACAAAATAATATGGGTAATTAATTATATTTCTACTACAGGTACTAAATACCCATACATACATGATATATATTGTATTCATAGTACATGGCACTTCAAAGCGGTCACTGTGTTACCTCATGATACATTTGAAAGTAGAATAAAGCTGAGAGAATCACTTTAAAACTACATCATACAAACATATTTTTTATTCCACACTATACAAATATTTATCTCTGCTTGTATGTGCTTGTCTCCAGTGCTCGGTGTCCTGCGGCAAGGGGAAGCGTGCGCGTTACGTCAGCTGCAGAGACGCCCAGGGAGGAGTCGCCGACGAGTCCAACTGCGCCCACCTGCCCCGGCCCCCCGAGTCCTCCGCCTGCTTCAGCCCCTGTGGCCAATGGCGTGCCGGGGAGTGGTCTGCTGTGAGTAAACTATGCAACACTGTGTCCAATCAATGCAGATGTGTTCCACTCCAGAGACTTTCACTAATCACTCCCACAATGTTCAAATCACGCTGAAACTTAATGGGCATTTGGGACCGCTGGGATCTTGGACAGTTTTCTATTGATTTGCGAATGTCAGCCTGGCAAGAGAGCCAAAACAACAGGGTTGGGATTGTTTACAGATTATTGTCATGATCTTTTAATCATGTGTTTATGTGAAATGAAGTCCTTTACATGTCAAAGCCTACAGGATAAAGTCTTAAGTTGCTTAAATTCATGTCATATTTAGTAGTTCTTTACTCCTGATGTTTCCACAGTTACAGACTTATCGGGCTAGACATTATGAATCAATACTCAAGTACTCAAATCACCTCAGTTTAGCACACAGTACTCGTAGTAATGCAGACCATCACATTTAGTATATTCTTTCATTGTGACTTCTAACTTTGTGCGATATCTACCATGCAATTTATCGGAATTCGAGGATTATTAATTATTTTATTTCATTTAAGATGAAATGACATGACTCAATTGTTTCAAATGTTCTTTGCTTGTAAAATGTAGTTTCCCCCCCCTCCCTCACCTTAGATTTGAACACCTTGCCTCCCTCTCCCCAGTGTTCAGTGTCCTGTGACGCTGGAAGAACCACAAGGCAGGTGGTCTGCTCTAACTACCACCAGCCTGTGGACCAGTCTTTCTGTGACCCCGATGAGAAACCTGCAACAGAACAAGAGTGTACCGGTGCACCTTGCCCCCCCCCCTACAACCGCCAGCGCATCAACGACCAGCCCTACGGATATCCCCAGGACCCAGGACGCCACCCCGGGCACAGCAGCTGGAACGTGCCCTCAGCCGACAACCAGTGGAGGACCGGACCCTGGGGCGCAGTATGTTCAGCATGTGATCTTTGGGGAAATAGGGCTGTGCAGAAGTGTTTTGTCTTTAAGTAGAATCTGTTTTTGAGAAATAGCAGTCAGAATTTGCATTAATTGCTCGTTAAGTGCAGGAAACTTCAGATCAACACATGGAGCCTTGTAAATATTCCTTATTGGCCTTTGACTTTCACAAGACAGCTAGTACTTTTTTTTAATGTTTTTTTATGTTTGACCGGCATGGTTCATAGTATGTGAGGTGTTGTCATGAAGGATTGAGTGTGTCTGTCTGTAAACACATTCTTGTGAACACACTCACTTGAAGGTAGCAGATGTTTTCATTTCCCAGGGCAGAGGGCCATACATGGTAAAGGACTTTACAAACAGCAGCAAGGGACAGGTTGCAACTCATACTAGGCACTGCAGAGTGAATTTATATGGTGTGTTTGTATAGACACCTAGGAACCTATTTCTGTGTTTCCATGAACAAATCTAAATGACCTCCAAGGTAGAGACTTTATTGTAGGCTAAAATGGATTAAGCACGAACAAACCCAAATGGTTTGGGCAGTTTAGGCGCCTAATTATCTTAATGTCCTTGGTCTTGAACATATTAAAAAAAAGCAGGCACTATGTTCTTTTTGTCAGGCTCAATTATTTTGTTTCCCCTTTTAACCGAGTCAGGCATTGTTTCCTCTGAACTGAAACTGCTAATGCCAAAATAGGGGCATTTGTGCGGTTGGGGTTGAGTTGTTTTTTCCTGCATGGTGCAATTTGGCATCATTTTTGCCATGAAATTGCACTTGTGAACCCAGACCAGACCATTATCGAAACACTAGAGCTAAGAACTATTCTTGGCTTTAAAAGAGCATAGTTTACAGTTTTAAAGTTGGCGCTATTCACTCTTTACCTAATAAGCACAAGTTAGAACAAATGGCTGTTACTCCCGCTGGTTATTTCACGGTGAAACTTTATTTTAGAGATGAACTTTGTGCCTACTGGAAAGAGATAGATGATTTTTTGGGGGGGGGGTATTTTTCAAAAGCCATGAGAAGAACATTGTTCTTCTCTCCAAATCCTCCCCAGCAGAGGCATTCACCCCAGCACTGTTCAGTCTCACTCTCTAGAGCTGAGTGGAAGCACTGCTGTTCAGGCTCACTCTGTGCTGTCCTCCCTCACATTTAGAGAGCGTTGAATGTGCTCACTCCCATTCACAGTGGGGATGTGTCATTTTAATTGGATGCAGAGTGTACCTACTGCTCTGTTCAAGGCTGAGTTGTTCAGTGTTTGAGATTGTCCTTCATGGACTGATGTTTTCAATCATTAGGAGATCATTTTGAACAGTGTTTAGTCTGGGTTAGACTCAGGTAAATTCAACATAAGAGGTTGTTATGTTTATTGTGTTTTTGCCTGTTTACATATTACATGCAATATGTGTGCCTGATGTGTTTTTGGTTTGTAAACACTGAAACCATCATATTGCAATCACTGGAACTCCTTGACTAAGCTATAATATGTTAGAAGATAGCGTTCTTTAACTACAGTATTCACATTATCGGTAGCTTTCAACCTTATCCCATTGCCTTCTGTAGCCAATAGAAGTTGTGACTTTGTACAACAAACGTAACATAAATGATAACAAGTGGTCATATATTAGATAAGAAAAAAAAGAAAACATTTTTAAGATCTTAAAAACATGTTTTAAGCTGGGAAACTGAGGGCTACAGTCAAAAGCTCCAGAAAAAGTGAGACAGGTTGAGTTTAAAATAAAGGCCTTTTATGAACACAGTTTCTGTTGACCTATGTGTGTTTCCTCATTGACACCCTGTTTGCTCCGCAGTGTTCGAGTACCTGTGCAGGGGGCTTCCAGAGGCGAGTGGTGGTCTGTCAGGACGCTGATGGACGCAGCAACAGTTACTGCGATGAGAGGGTCAAACCTGCCGAGTCAAAGAGCTGCGACTCTGGACCCTGCCCGCTGTGGAACTACGGAGTATGGGGAGAGGTGAGATGATACTTAGAGTTTCATTGTCATTCATTATGATCTTCAATAAATATACATCTTTTGTGTTTTATCCTAATTGTCAGTTAAGAAATTCTCCATTGAAGAGATACATTCTACATTACGACATACATTATGACACTATCATTCAATTATATGATATTGTAGTAGTTAGAGACACGTTTTTGTCGAAAATAGAGACGAAAAGCATTGGTAACACCATAGTAACACACTGACATTGTCCCCTTCTGTTATTGAGTTAGTGTGAATGTAAAACATCACAACAACAACAAATGCTAGTGTTTAACCAGAGACAATGTTGAATTATGTACTTATGTATTCCGCTAAAATATATGCATTATTAAATGTCTTTTGTTTGCTTACGTCAGTGCACTCAGACCTGCGGTGGAGGACGGAGGACTCGCCTGGTGGTTTGTCAGAGGCCCAGCGGCCAGAGGCTCAACGACTACAACTGTGACATCCTGGACAAGCCCCCCGACATGGAGCAGTGCAGCCTGCAGCCCTGCCCAGGCTCCGCCTCCTGGCACCGCCGACCCTGGAAGCCGGTACGATAGTACTCACTCGTTTTCCTCCAACACTTATCTTCCTCACTGAGGGTGCGTCACTGTGAGTAGACATGGTGTGTGCTAAAATGACTTCAGACGTGTGTACTGAGTGTGTTTTTAGCCTAAAACTGTCGGAGGTGCTGCAGTGAGCGCTGGGTATATAGCGCAACTGTTGGCTAGCTGGCTCCAGCCCACCCAGAGCTTGCAGTCGCATGGTGCTGATTAGAATCCAGAAAGAAAAGCACAAAAACACAATGCGCTCCACATTAAAAACACATGGGTCCCATTTTAAGCCAAGACTCCAAATTAAGACCTATAAATCAGGACAGTGTTGTCCAACAATGCCATATATTTGCAGAGGCATGACTCTGGAAAATATTTATTTCATATATGAGGCGTGAAGTAAATGTTCTTTGTGGTTATTGCTGTCTTCACCCTGTATCAGAAGTACACAAGTGTATATTTGTGTATAAGAGTTAATATTATGACCTTTATTGAACAGCAACAAAGGACTGTTGTTGTATGTTGTATGTGTATCTATGTACAGTATGATTTATTTTTCAAGTAGCTAGTTTTCGTTACTGAATATTCTATTTAATATTTTTGATGGTGCTCTTGGTCAGACCTCTCGTATCTCTCTATGAGTAAATACAGTTTGTACAGAGGAATATATTTTCAATCCGTGTTTCATTTGTGTTTTTAATAATATGTTTTTTACTTATGTTGAAAAGCAATTTAGTATGGCTCAATCTCTTTCAGGATAAACTACTTCAGTGTCCCACTAAAACTATCGAACAAAATATATAAATACGTCTTTAAACATATCGTAAATAGAAATGGCCTTAAAATGCTGAATTATTGAAAAGCAAGCATTATAGGAAAGCATTCATTGTTATTTGAAGTTTTAATTAAGTATATTTTACATGATATGATGCAATCTTTATCACAAAGGAAAACAGTAACCGTAACTCTACTGTACCATTCAGACATATTTCTTCATCCAGTTTCTACATAATATAAAAAAAGAAGAATCTTTTCACAAACCAATAATACATTATTTTATAGTATGTGATTTCTGGGACAGGAAGTCAGTCTGAGGTGTGACCCAGCTGCAAACAGCAGCATGAACAAAACATTCAAATGCAATTTATACTCATATTCATAAGGTGCTAATAAATACATGATATAATGGTGCGTAATCGGTATCATGAAGATAGTTTTATCATATTTCCAGGCTTAGAATAATTTGTATTTATTCTGTGAATGGATCAGCAGCATCAGTGCAGCGTTTTTGAAAATAAAACTGTCCGTGCAGTAAATCGTTGGGTTATCATTGAGCCGTTCTGTTTCAGCCTTCATCGCTGTCCATAAAGCAAGCACACAAATACCTCCTCCTTAAAAAGTCAGAGTCGTTTGTTGCTGTCTCTTGTTTTTCTTCCTTTGGCCAGTTTTTGTATTTCTGAAGGATTTTTTTTTTTCAAATGAAACGTATTTATTTGTTTACAATAGAATATTAATTGTTGCAGCTTTAATGTCTTGTTCCAATTTAGATTAAAGTAACACTTTACTTGAATTATTTGTCATTATACACACATGTCACCTGAACACTACTGATTGGAGCCTTTTACAGTATGCAAAGAGAGTACCTTCAGTGTGTGCACTGTGTTACCTGATCAAGATGCCAGTTCAAGAGCAATAATATAGGCTAGTTTAGTCACGTACACATTCAGAATCTACGAAGAGCTTTGTTTTCCATCTGTATATAAAATATGTTGCTACTGGGTCAAGCTAGCTGATGGAAACTATTAATCCTTGGCAGTTTACAGCATTACAACGTCATGAACAGCTGAATCCCTCAGGCTAGTCCTCTTGTAAAAAGCGTGAAGAACAGATTTTATGCCACTAATATTGCCAAAAGAAGCTTTAAAGCAACACAACACCAGCTGAACATCTTTGGTTTTACTAAACTCAGTGGATTAACCCTTCAGCTTGCTGTAGTGATGTAGAAGTGTACTTCAGGGTGTGTCAGTACACCATGACTTCAATTTAGGCACAGGGGCTGTTAAGATACTGCTATTTCGACAGGGTATGAAGTTACATTTTAAGGTCAAATCAGAGTTCAAGAGCTCTGTGGCTACTTATCCCAGTAAATGTAAATCTTACACTTAATGCAGCAGCAGTGCTTTTGCCATATATAGTCTGAGCACTTTTAAAACTCCTAAACTCTGACGCTTCAGGCACCCAATTTGTGACCAGTTTTCAAATGTGACAATAAGCACCCTGAATTATACCTGGGTTAAGGCAATTATCATGACACATATTTCAGGTGAAGTGTTGCAGTGGGGTCTGTATTCATGTCGGCGTCCTCTCAGTGAGGATGTGTGCCGTCTCCTTTTTTGTGCTTTTGTATTCCTTGCTGTCATTTTCAACCAAGACTTCCACTACAACCAAGACTCCTCAGCCATGGCAGTTTCACTCCCACTTATTTTTCTACCCTGTGGTGCAACGTTGCCGAACTCAAGGGGGCAACTCTACTTTTTTTGTTGCATATTTTGGTTGGTTGTTGTTCTTTTTGCTATTTATTTCATTCACATGCAAAATACATAAACATGTTGAATTAGCTTTTCCCATTGTAAAGATTATTAAAGAAACATAACTGTGACATTTGTGTTGTTTCTCAATGCAACATTTTGCTGGCAAACAAAATACAGCACTGCGCCTTTTAACAATTTCAGCCTGCACCTAAAGGAAGAGCTCAATATACGCTCGGTTATGAACACATCCTATAGACGTCGCTCTGGGGAATAGCCTCACAAGTTAGGAAAGCAAAATAAGACACAGTTCAACACAAAGTAGTAACACTTGGAATATAGTTTATTGCTTTAACAGGGGAAGAGTTGTTGACACAGCAGGAGTAACTGCACATACAGTAGTTTCAAAGTACAGTAGAGTGCTCCAGTAACCCATGGGCACGCCATACATGCAGCAGGTCTTATACAGTGTATAGTGTTTAGGTTAGATATAAACAGCTCTTATAAAAGACTTGACCTGTAGGTGATTATGTGGTCTTTTGGTATTTGAACTTCAATTGACTTTATTCTGATTGGCTCCCAATATGTAATTCTGCCTTTCGGGGCACACTTTGAATTTGTCTCTATAGTATCTGTGGTACTTTACATACCTCTGCATAATTTAATTAAATAAACCCCACAGGCCTTTTCCTTTAATGTGTTTTATTTAGTAATGCCTCTGGAGAAAACATATACAGCCCAGATCCAACTTTGGCGTTGGGTGGCACATCTGTTTACAATTGCATTAATAGAGCTCTCTGTAATGCATTTGGCAGGACCCCGACAGAGTATAATTTTTACTACAACAATAATTGGTATTAATGCTTGCTGGCAAGGGTTGTTTAGAAAACCAAAGGCAAGCCCTGAAAAGCCAGTATTTACAGAAAACTGCTGATTGAGTTATAGTTGGTATTGTAATGAGGTCCTTCTTTGAAGTAAAACACACACTTTGTTATGTGTTAGAAGTAATGTCGAGCTCGATAGTCAAATCATGGAATAAGTCAAGTCAATACTTTACTCTAGGATTCAAGCGACTCCAAATAGACCATATCACTTTATTCTACAGTAAGGAGCCTCAAATGAACCAGCTACACTGAAGCATACAGTCATAATACAGCTCTAAATAAAGCAACAGTAAGATTACATGAGATTAAACTAAATCAGTAGACTAAAATCAGCCACTAACATCAGATCTCAAATCAGCTTTATACATGCACCATCTATCATAAAGTACAGGAAACCATATTAACATTTTAATTATTACAAATCAAATGTAACATTGTCTAAATGGCAAATGTTGGGAAACTAGTCAACTTTGAGAGACCAGATGATGATAAAAAGGTCTGGGGGCTCGTTTTACATAAACCTTTTCAAAATATTTGTCATGTCTTCAGAGAGTGTCTTACCTTATGTAATGGCCTCTTCTGTTGGTAGTATATCCATATTATCTCTCCATGTTAAATAATGACACTTTTGCACCAGTAATATCACACCAGCAGTAGCTCAATAAAAATGATTAATGCTTTATCCTTCATTTTTTCAATTTTCTATCAAATATATTCTTAAATCTCACACATTAAAACACAAAGGATTCTATATCATTTTATTAAGTTCAAAGTAGGAAAGTAGCTAAAACATCTCCCACCCAACAGATACCATTGCTTGTAATGCGTTTCAACCAAGATCTTTATTCAAATAAACTTAAATTTCTTGTAACCATGGAAATGGTTTATTAATAATTATATACCACCATCCTTAGAATATTCACAAATCAAATGCCCATTGCTTTCCTAATACTCATTTAATCATAAAGACTCATATTAAATGTTGAGAAAGTCAAAATTGTCCCCAAATTATTATTTCAAATGCAAATAAGTAATTTATTTAAAATATCAAAACAATTCTAAATAATCTACCACGTTGCCCTTTGGACCTTTAATCGTCTCCAATCTTGCAGAGACAGCTTAAAAAAGTAAATAAAGCTTATTTTTCATATATCAAGAAGAAAAGACACAAAACAATTCTCACATTTATTGCAAAAACGTATGATGGCAGACACATTTCAACACAAACTGTCAGGAATGTAAATATCATTAACTAATGGTAATTACCTTAAAAACATGTCGATGTCAAACGGCAACAATACGGCTGTGTGTGATCAATTGGCAACCAAGGCACAATTTTAGTAATTTATGCCTGTTTGTTGCTAACAAAAACATACCGTTTCCTGTCCGGGGTGGGTTTCCCATGGAGGGGGATCGCAGTTGAGCGTCTGTGAACTAATCATGCTGCTTCAAATGAAATCCACATGCACAACATTGACATACTTGACTTTGGCCTGAGGGCAGTGGACAAGAACACGTTCCAAACCTGTCACCCTTGGGTCAGGTGGTCGTGACATCATTGGGCTTGTGTTTCCTGATCTTGCAC